TTTTAACACCAAACTGTAGGTCTCGTGCTTGCCTTTTCAATCGAGTCGAAGTTACATGGGATCGTCTGTGAAATTCTCGCGCGCGCTGGGAGATACACCCAATCTGACTCACATCCAGCTCCTGACAGGTCCTGCTGACTGGACCCGCATCCAGTGCAGGGTCCGAATGTGAAGGGAACCGATTCTGCAACATATCCGCCTGCTAAAGTAAAAATCGTTACAGCTTCTTGAACACATTTCAAATTTTAAAGTTTACGTGCGCTTATAATAAAACAAGTTTTTTCAAGGGGTGCGCTTATAATCGAGGAGGGGATATAAGCGCCATATGCCAATTAGAAGCGCCAGGCGCTTATCCTAGGGTGGCGCTTATATCCGGGGGGAGACGGTAAGGTACCTAAGAGTGTCAGAATGTGATGTTTGTGTAGCCTGCAGTGGGGTACTCTATAGCGACTACAGCGCGAATTAGGGTTTGCTATATGTACTGAACAGACCCTCAGATATCAGCGTAAAACACGCTGATTACGCTGATTTTGTAGCTCAGAATTTTCGTTTTCCCTGAAAATTCAGCATATGCTTCAAATTTGCACTGAAATTTCAGTATAACATACCTTGCCACACTGACCATTTTCCGTGTTGCTGTACAAGTAACACTGACGAATCAGTGTAGTGTCGTGAGTCACACTGAAACGGACTAGACCGATTCGGGGTGGTACGCATGTGTACAGTCTGTACCTGGCCCGGGATTCACGAGACCCCACTAGGATGTACCTAGCCCGGGATTCGCGAGACCTCAGGGTACATTCCGCTGTGGACACACGTCCCAATCGATGTGTCCCAATCGTTTCTACCGCACTGCATCGTATTACACCGAATTGCACCCTAGTTTCGAAATTTTCGCGTCTCTGGTTTAGTTCGGTTCGGAGCGGTACACTCGATTGGGACACATCGATTGGGACATGTGTCTACAGCGGAATGTACCCTCACTCACACACTCAACGATGCATGCGCTGTACAGATCGCGTGCCGACGTGTTCTGCATCGCTGGAAGGAGCTCTCACAGCGACAAATTTTGAACGGGAAATTCAACTTTGTATATCTTTTGTACACTCATGGTTCAGTTTACTTATCAATTTTACACTGACAAAATCAGTATAAAGAAAACCATGAACGCTGATTTGGACACCTGGGCGACCGGGGCACGCTGATCCATCAGCATACCCTCAAACCAATCTGAGGGCCTGGTACTGAACTGCATGCTAGTAAAAAACCACTCTTTCTTCATTCTGATTTTTGCCTAGCCTTTCAACAAAGAGCGCGCAATAGGGAATGGAAACCCGAGGAAAGGCTATGAACGACCTAGAGAAAACAATGACAAGTTGGCGTCTTTAAAAAACGACTAGAACCTAACCTCAAACGGTCTAATTGAACAGTGAACGAGTATGATACGACGTTACTAAGATCTAAGTCGAGCCTATAATCATCTAACTAGGTCTTCTCACCTTGAATTAGTAGCTGGAGCGTGAGCAGGGGGCGGATGAAAGAGGCTTCACCAGCGAGATGAAGCAAGGCAGAGGAAAAAGAGCCATTCAAACCCTAACGCACTAGACATTTCGTCGCAATAAAAGAATTAGACATTTTTTTATGCTCCTGCTTCGACAGCCGACTTAGCTCAGTTAATAGAAATCGAACAGAGGGGTGTGAAAGGTCTCAGATTCGAATATTTCAAATGACAAAATTCAATTCTTCAAACCCCTTCAAAAGGGCTACTGTAGTGTTTAATACTATTTGACCCTGCACATAGATAGTGTACTTAAGCTAAAAGCTTCGCAACCATACGACTATTTCGTCGCTTCTTGTTTCCCAATGGTCCGATATATGTTTGTTGCATGATATTTCAGAAGATTGCAGTAAAGTACATTCACAATGGATGTATAAATTTGATGAATTAAAATAAAATCGTAAGGCCATTGGTCAAACAAAGGCTACTCCTGGAATCCTGAATATGAAAAAAACTGTTGTAAAACATGAAGGATTTGTGTTGATTTTAACATCAAACAAGTCTACTTTTAGGGGTTATCAGCTTATGCATCGCCTTGTGGCCTCGAGTGTTGGCTTTTACGTCCACAGCGCACTCAGCCCATATATAGCAGCGCACTGCACCTCGTGCGACTCGCTTGATTCCTGCAGATCCCGATTTGCCGCAACTCGATCGTTTCATACGAGCCAGCGTTTTTCGATCCGTAGCTTTTGTAAGTCAGAGATGAAGCGGTTGACAGCAGGCGGTAGCGGAGGTAGCACCAGCGGCAGCGCGGGTACGAGCGGCGATCCCCGGAGACCAGACGCAGTTAAGAAGTATGTCCCGCCGGTGGTGAATGCGGAGGATCTGCCGATCGACATGGCGAGCATGATGGCCATCTTCTTCGGGATCGCCGGCGTCATGATGCGGGTGAGCGAAGAAGTGCCGTTTTTCTTCGAATCCTGATTGGTGTTGTTGCTACGGGCATGCTCGATGAGGAGCTACACGTTCTTCGGGATCGCCGGCGTCATGATGCGGGTGAGCGGAGAGGGGTCGGTGTTCTTAGATCCTGATTGATGATGTCGGCGTGGGAAGCGGAATGTGTCTAACGTGGAGCTGAAACTTCGGGATCGCCGGTGTCATGATGCGGGTGAGCGAAGAGGTCTAAGTTTCCTTAGATCGTAAGTGATGCTTTCGGTGTGGGGATGGGTCAGAAGCGGTGCAGAGATATTGGGGTCGTCGGCGTCATGATGCGGGTGAGCGGCAAGGGCTTGGTATTTTCAGTTCCCTTTTTGGTAATGTTGGCGTGGGGGGTGCTTTGAGGAGGAGCCTAAACATTTGTTTGGAAGGCGTCATGGTGCGGGTGAGCGGAAAGGGCTCGGAGTTTTCAGAAGCATTTTTAGATGTCGGTGTGCGGAGGTAAATGGGTGCTTTGAGGAGGTGACGAAACAATGTGTGAGAGGAGAGAAGCAGGGAACGCCTCAGCGAACGAACTTATGTTGCATTGCTATGTGCGTGACAAGGTGAATTGAAGATGAGCGAAGATATAAGTACTGGTTCTGAATCAGCTACCCGTTCTTGCTTTGGCCGTTTTCTCTTCGCCTCTTCCACTCCTTTGTCCAATCGTGTTCTTCCCGCTCACTCACAAGCATCCGTTCTTGTCCTTCTCTCATATGCCTTACTCTACTTTCTCCATGCAGCAAAAGCTTGCCTGCTGGCTGGCGCTTCTTTGTGCGGCACAAGCTCTGGCAAACATGAAATATGTGGAGCATGATCTAAAGCAAATAATTACTGCGCTCAGGTAAGGATCGCTGTGCCAGGTTATCCTACATTTTCAGTGCATACGCTATAGAAGGTTGAGCTGTTTTTTGTTATCATGTCCTGGCTGGGAGGACCTTGTCTTCAGTTCTGCTCCTTCAAATTCCTTTCTGTGACTTCAACATTCTTTCCCTTCAGCTCCTGGTTTTTTGTTGACTGTACACACATCCCCCCACCCTGCCATCTGCGGACCTCTCTCGTGCTTCCCTACCCTTGTCTTCCACTTCACTTGGCTGCAGTTTCGCGGTTATGGGCATCGTGACAAATTATTTTGCACCAGTGCCGGTACACCCTGATTCAATAGCAGCAGGCCAACAAGGCTGACAGGGATTTTTTTTTTTTTTTTTTTTTATGATTGTATTTCACGTGTAATATATGGGTCCTTTGATAAGTCTGCATGAAGATTGCTACACCAGCTTGTTATGTTTATAATGATAAAGCTGAGGCTTATCGTATGCATGATCAGATAGCCTAGTGATGTTTGATAGTATCTGCATGTCAAATTGACAATATGGGAGTCTGCATGATAAGCTCGGCAACAGCCTCGACTACTGGAATTGCTGGTTGCCCTGGAAAGGCTTTTATAACCTGGCCAAAAAAGGTAAACGTTCGGGGTCTGGGCTCGGCTGATTGATTCCTCAAGAACCTCGACTTACACAAATGTCACTGCCCTCCACGTGTTTCCCCGTGAACTTCCAAAATTTGCATTTTCTGCCCGATTACGGGAGGGACGCAAGCGCGATCGGAAGTATTCCCTGCCTTTGCCGAAGCGAATTCCCGAGCCTGAGCAGCTTCTCTCGGGGTGACCCAACCTCCTCCTTCCACACCTCCCCGCGTTTGAACCTTGAGCCCCTCGCTTCAGCTTTCTGGTCCGACCTGAACCAGTTTCTCTGCATCAGCCCTTTTTCAGGATTCCTGAAGAGAGCTTGTTCCTGGAGAGCTTGCTTGTGAAAGTTGTCTTCAGTTGCTTCTCAGTATTTCAGAGGCTTGCTTCTGAATCCAGCTCTTGTATCAGTGCTTGCTCAGACTGGCAAGCAACTGAGCAAGACAACGGGATTTTCCTGCATTTTTTCTGATTCCCGTTCTCAGCTTCCCCGAGGGGACCATTCCGAGTCTGGCAAACTGGCATCAACGGCGTGTGAATTCGTGGGAGGGAGGTGGGTAGGGGAGGATAGACGCAGCATTAGTCGCTACACTAAGAGGAAGAAATAAGGTTAGTGATTTTGGGTGAATTCTCATAACAGGATTTTTCTGCTGTGTATCTACGCTGGCCGCCGTAGGCCTTCTGGTTAAAAAAAAAATTCGAACGTGAAAAAAAAAAGGTTCAGTTTTTTGTAAGTGACTGTGGCGAGTACCGTCTGAAAACAATCTTGCGCTTCTGACGCTTCAGATAAACGTTTTGGCGGAAATCCACATTTCCCTTTCCGCAATGCATCCTTCGATGGATATCGTCACTTCCATGGCTTCGTGGCTGTTACGGACAGTGCAGCTGAAATCTGGACCTGATGGATCTGGTTCGGACAACTCAAAGAAGCTCGGTGACAGGCTCGGGGAATCCGAAGCGAGAAACGTCCTCTCCCTCGGTGATGTATCCGAGGTCGGGGATCTACCGACCAGAGAATTTTCGGAATCGGAGCGGCTGCTTAGAACGGATACGCAGGACTTTATGAAATTTCTCCTGGACGGCTGTGATCGTCGAGTCGAGGCATCTACGGCTGGGAACGCGCCGGCCAGCTCCGTTGCTGGAAATGGGGAAGGAACAGTCGAGGGAGAGGAGAACGGGAAGGGGACGCTGGAAGGAGGTGGGGAAGGCGATGTTGACGATGCCAGTGCCGAGGTAGGGATTGAACCCGGGAGACCCGAGAACAGCCACAAAGACAGATGCGAAGGCAACGCAGAGAAGGAGGGAAAGAAACGCGCAGCTGTTGACGCGAGGGTCCTCGAACTTGCTGTGACCGCAGTTGTGACAGTGCTGAAGGCGGTTGCTTTGGCGGAGATCCCTAATGCGCAGCTGGTGCAGAGGCTGCTGGACGTCGGTGTGCGAGCAACGCTTCACGCAGAGACTGAAAAGCCGTCTTCTGCAGAGGGTGTATCCGCAGGGCTTGTTGGGGAACAGTTGTTGGCGCTGGTGGCTGGTGCTGTTGCTGTTCTGGATGAGATGGTGAAAAGAGAGGAGGGGCTAGATGCGTTGAATAAGGGAGTGGGTACTTTGCAAGAGGTGCCGCAGGAGGGGGTGGAAAGCGAAGCTGATGCTGGAAGAGGAGTAGTAGGAGACGGAGAACATTCAGGAGTTGAGGTTCAGTTGGGGGCTGGTAACGGAAAAGAGACTGCTGTTGTGGGAGGAGCGGGCGGGGCGAAAGCGGAAGTTCTACACGTGCTGCTGTCGTTCCTGTCCCTTGTCCTGTCCGCCTGCAGGGGTAGTGGTGGTCTGGGAAGAGGAGGGAGTGTTCTGGAAGAAGAAGAAGAGACAGGGAGGTTTGAGTTAAGAGATGAGGAGTTGGGGGAGGGGATGGGCAAGGAGGGGATAGAGGATGACGACCAAGCAGAGGAAGAGCACGAGAAAGAGGAGGGGGAGGTGGAGGAGGAGGAGGAGGAGGAGAACGAGGATTCAGAGAAGGAAGAGGGCGATGACGAGGAGGAGGAAGAGGAGGAGGAGAAAGAGGAGAAGGGAAAGGTGGATGACGATGCAGAAAAACCGGAAGGTGGAGAGGACGGGTGGTCTGATGAGGAGCTGGAGAGTCGCTTCCTCAACACCTTTGCAGACTCCATCAGGACCTCATGCTCCTGCTCATCACTCCCCTCTGCGTCTGGCTCCGCAGCAGGAACAGGAGCAGCAGCAGCAGCAGCAGCAGCAGCAGCAGCAGCAGGAGCATCAGGGGGAGCTGCAGCAGCTGCGGCACCAGGGTGGTTGTCCCCAGCGGATTTATCCGCGCAAGCAGCAGCAGAGGCGGAGGAAGAGAGGGCTGTGGCGTCCCGCGTGTGCTCGTTTGTGGTGAGTGGCAGCAACTTCATGGAGCAGCACTGGTACCTCTGCTACACCTGCGACCTCACAGTGTCCCGCGGCTGCTGCTCCGTCTGCGCTGCCGTGTGCCACAAGGGCCATAAGCTCGTGTACTCGCGTTTCTCCAGGTTCTTCTGTGATTGCGGTGCGACTGGCCCGGCTCCCCCGTCTAGCGCCCCTCCTGGCGCCCACACGAGTGGTTCCCTGGCAGGACCTGCTAGACGCTCTGGTGCTCCTCCTGCTGGTGCTGGTGGTGCTGGTAGTGCTGCTGCTTCGGATGCCACGGGCTTGCCGAACCAGGGGGCTTTTAGTCAGTCGGCGACAGGTTCGGGGTCTTCTCCAGCTGCGGTTTGGGAGCGGTTCCGGCGCAGGAGGTCCGGAACAGGCTTGGCGCGGCAGGGGGAGGTGTCAAGGGGAGCGGGAAGAGGGGAAGCCAGTGGGGGGAGCGGGGCAGGCGGGGATGAAAGCGTTTTCAAGGGCTGCTTTGCACTGAAGCCCCGCCCTGTGGGGTCAATGAAACAGGCAGCAGCAGCAGGAGGGGTACCGGGAGGAGAAGGCGGAGTGGCTTTGCCAGGAGGCACGTTTGGATGGCCTGGTGGGTACAGGAACGGAGGGAAGGAGCGAGGTGGAGGAGGAGTAGGAGGAGGAAAGGGAGAGGGTTCTGAGGTTGAAACGGATTGGTTGGTGGGAGTGGAGGCGTTTATGAGCCAATCAGAGAAGCTTTGCTGGGAAGGGTTGTTGGGGAAGGAGAAACGGAATGGAGGGGGAGTACTGAGGCTGCAGGAGGGCTTGTGGAGCGAAGAGGTTGTGAGAGGGCTCAGGGGGGCTCTGTCAGGGAAGGCATGGGGGGGAGAAGGTGAGGAGGGGGAGAAAGAGGACGTGAGTGGGGCTGAGCGAGGTGAGAAGGATGGTAAAAACGATTCTGAGAAGAAGGATGGTGAGAAGGAGAAGCGTCAGGAGGAGGAAACGATGACCGTCAGTGGAGAGGGCATGCACGGGGATGTTGCAGCAGCAACAGGAGAAGCAACTGTAGCAGCGACTCGAGTGCTGGTTCTCGGGGAGCTAAGTCGGCAGCAGGTGGTGGATACCATCTGCCAGCTGGCGCGCAGGCATTGGCTGAGACGCAAGGCACTGGCGAGAGAGAGGGTTGTTCGGGCGAGGAAGGAAAAGGATGGAGTGAGGTTGGGGGAGGGAGGGGGTGGGGAGGGGGAGGTCGGACGTGGTGAGGAGGGGGGGGAAGAGGTGGTGGTGGATGAAATGGGGGAGATGGAAGGGGAAAAGGCTGCGGTGAAAGGGGAAGCGGAGGTGGTGGAGGGAGGGGAAAAGATGGAGGTTAAAGTGGAAGGGGAAGGGTTGGAGGTGGTCGAGAGTGTGGTGAAGGAGAAGGGAGGAGGTCAGGAAAAGGAGAAAGAAGAAGGTGAGGTGCGGGAGGGGGACGAAGGAGAAGCAAAGAGGGAGGTGGAGGAAGGCCACGATGGGGCGAGTGAGGGAGTCAAGGGAGGGAAGGAGAAGTCAGGGCGTGCAAGTGAGGAGCCGTCTGAGAGCAAAGAATCAGGGGCAGAAGGCTCGACTCTGCAAGGCGAAGGCAGTGGGACGGAGGAGGAGGAGGCTGGGTCCAAGCTGGGAGGTGAGGCAGTAGTTGAAGCAAGCTCAGAAGGGAGCGGAGCAGGTGAGGGCAGGCAGGGGGCTGCTGCGTCAGAGGTGGCTGTAGCGGTGCCAGAGGCTCCTCCTGCGCTGCCAGAAGCGCTGCTGTCAGTAGAGCAAGCAGACTTAGGCAGAGCTCTGCGCCTGTACCCGGCTGGTTCCTTCCCCCTCCTCCCACCTGCTTCGGCTCCTGTAGCAGGCGAAACAGGAGCAGCAGGTGAAACAGGAGCAACAGGTGCAGCGGATGTAGAAGGTTCAAGAGATGCAGCAGACGTAGCAGATGCAGCAGACGTAGCAGATGCTGCAGACGTAGCAGATGCTGCAGGGGTTGGGATTGGCGGAGCAGCAGCTGGGCCGCCGTCGCTCTTGACGATCAGTCTCGGGGGGAAGGTGGCAATTGGGGCAGGGTCAACTGTGAGGCTGTGGGAGGCGGATGACATAGTCCCTCGCACTGCTGCCAGTACAGGAGCGGATAATGATCACGCTGCTGCTGCTGCTGCCGCCGCCGCCACCACCACCGCCGCCGCCGCTGCTACTGACCTGGCACCTATACCTTCAGTGGAGGAGGCAGCAGCCCCGATGGAGATAGGGGAGGTGGACGTGGGGTACCCCGTGCACATGCTGGCCTTCCACCCCACTGTTGACTCTCTGCTAGCTGTCGCAGGGACCAACCAGGTGGAGGTAAGTCACTTCATGTTCGATGTAAGACCAGTCTGATGTGTTCAATGCAGCAGCCCCGATGGAGATAGGGGAGGTGGACGTGGGTCCCCTTCCATGTTGTGGGGTGCCCCGTGCACATGCTGGCCTTCCACCCCTCTGTCGACTCGCTGCTTGCAATTGCAGGGACGAACCAGGTTGAGGTAAGGCATTTATTGATGACGATCGCACATGCTATGAAACTGTGTGCCACTATCCCTTCACTATGCTTCTCTCTCTCTCTCTCTCTCTCTCTCTCTCTCTCTCTCTCTCTCTCTCTCTCTCTCTCTCTCTCTCTCTCTCTCTCTCCTCCTCTCTCGTTGTTTCCGCATCTCCCCTACCTTGCTCTCCTTCAGGTGTTAGTGCTGGACGATGACTGCACGCTCGTCACTCGCTCCGCGGTGAACCTGCGTGCTGGCCTTCGCACTGCAAGGAAACACCGCCGGCCACACAGGCAGCAGCAGGAGCAGGCGGAGGAGCAGGAAGAGCAACAGCAGGAGGAGAATGGGGAGGTAGAGGAGGAGGACGAGGAGGAGGAGGAGAAGGGTGATGGTGAAGCAGAAGGGGATGGGCCTGGCAAAGTAGTTGTTCCAGAAACAGATGTGGTTATAAAGAGGATGTGCTGGTTGCCCCTTGCAGGAGGCCCGTTTCTGGAGGTGCGTGCGCTCAGAAGAAGGTGTTCTCTCTTTCCGCCTTTGTGAAAATACCTTCTCTTCTGCACTTTGCATCATCTCACGCTTTCTGTTAAAGCCTTTAAACCCCGTTGAAGTGATATTCTCCCCGTCACCCCTCCCCATTTGAATCACTCTATCTATCTCTTGCAGGCATGCCTGCTCGTGGCTACCCCCGCAGCAGCTCTCCTGTTTGCAGTGGCTGTGGGGTATTATGCCCAGCTAGTTGCCACCTTCCACCTCCCATCAAGCCCACTCCCACCCAATCATCCCTTCCCTTCCCTTCCCTTCCCTTCCTCCCTGACTCTCTTTTCTTGCTACAGGCTTGTCTCCTGGTGGCGACCCCCTCAGCGGCGCTCCTGTTTTCAGTGGCTGTGGGATACGATGCCCAGCTGATCGCCACCTTCCACCTCCCATCCCACCTACTCCTACCCAATCAATCATCCCTTCCCTTCCCTTCCTTCCTCCCTGAATCTCTTTTCTTGCTGCAGGCTCGTCTGCTCGTGGCGACCCCTTCAGCGGCGCTCCTGTTTGCAGTGGCTGTGGGGTATGATGCTCAGCTGGTTGCCACTTTCCAGCTCCCTGCGAGCCAACCTTCAGGAGGAGGAGCGTCATATGCGCAGCAGGAAAAGGAGGGGGATAGGGAAGAGGGAGAGGAGGAGGGGGAGGGGGTGGGAGTCGGGAAGGTGGGAGAGGAGGAGATTGTGGATGTGTGTGTGGTGCAGAGGGAGGAGGAGGACGAAGAGGACGAGAGGGAGGGGCACGAGGATGGGGATGAGGATGATGGGCATGGGCATAGGGATGATGAGGAAGGTCCCCAGATGCAACTGACAGTTCTCACCAGCCAGGTGAGCAGTGTGTGTTTTTTTAGAATTCTCAAAAAACAGACTCACCAGCCAGGTGAGTAGTGTGTGCCTTCGTCCAGTAGGTTTGCCTTCCCTTCCAGTGTGCTAGTAATGTGTTACCCCTGAATTTATCTGCTTCCTCAGGTTCCGTTGCTCTTGTTGTGTATCTTCCCTGTCCTCTGTTTTTTTCACCGAGTGAGGATCCGCTTGTTCCTTCTGTTTATACATTTGAGTCTTACATATTTACTCAACGCTTTCTTACCCTGTTTGTTATGATATAGAGCTCACTCCTGTTCGTATCATCATTGTCTTGTGTGACAGGCTGCACTGTACTACGCAACCATAGACGATAGGAAATCAGCTAATGAGGAGGATGAAGACGACAACCAGGAGGACGAGGATGAGGACGAGGATGATTACGATGATGCGGAGAATGGATTTGATCTGTTCCTGTTCATGCCATGTCAGCACGTCACGTTGCGCCACCTGTCACTCCGGCCATCAGGCTCGGACCTACCCTGGCAGCATCAGGCTCGGGCCGGTCTTTCCTCTCTTGATGCTTCAGAAGAGACTGGGAAGAGAGAAGCAGATGGAGGAGGAGGAACAGGAGAAGGAGGAGGAGGAGGAAGCAGTGTAGCTTTGGGTGAGGGCGGAGGGGTTGTGGGAAGGAGGGGAGGGGGGTTCCTGTGCCCGGTGGCAACGCATGAGGGGTTTCTTGCCTCTCCTGATGGCTGTCGCCTCTTCTTTGCTCGCCTCACGCTCTCTGGACAGGTGAGCTTCTAGCAGAGCGTCTCAGTAAAAGGAGGGTGGGGGGGACGTGGGAAGGAGGGGATCTGGGTTCCTGTGCCCGGTGGCAACGCATGAGGGGTTTCTTGCCTCTCCTGACGGCTGTCGCCTCTTCTTTGCTCGTCTCTCGCTCTGTGGCCTGGTGAGCTTCCGCAAAGCTCGTGTTTCTAGCAGTTTCAGTTTCCCGTTTTAGCAGGGGGGTTCAGTGAAGGGAGGCCTCTTTTTGTACTCTGGCCGAGTGGAAGGAACAGCAACGGAAGGAGGAGATTTCTGCTGCGGGAGGTCTTTTTCTGCTTCCTTGTTAACCAGTATCCCCCATGTTACTGCACCTGTCTTCCCCGGCTGCTTTGCTATGGCAGGCAATATCGCTGCTGCGGGAGATCACCATCAACAACCAGGGACCACTCGCACCACCTGCAGCGGCTGGGCATCAGGGTCAGGTTCGGGAGCTAGCTTCGGAAGGGTTCCGAGCCTGGGAAGCAGGCATATTGCAGTGGGAGGTTGCGTCTGGAAGGGGCAGGGAGAGAAGCAGAGGCAGCCGCAGGGGCAGGGGCAGGGACAGCTTCAGCTTCAGAAGCAGCAGCGGCGGCAGTGGGAACAGCGGCACCAGCAGCAGCAGCAGCAGCAGTTTCTGTGGAAGCGCTGTTGTGATGAGTGAGGGAAGCAGCTGCCGGGTGTTGCTGGCTTCTGGGCCCTTGGAGCATCTCACCAGGGGCTTCCCGTGCTTCTCCCATGCTCTGCTCTGTAACGCTGCAGCTGGTAACCCGGTTGGTGGTAACCAGGTTGGTGGTAACCAGGTTGGTGGTGACTACCCTGGTCGTATTGTGGGCGTGGCAGCATGTCGAGCTAGTAAGGAGAGGGAGGGTAGTGAGACAGAAGAAGAGGAGGAGGAGGAGTACGAGGAGGAAGAGGAGGATATGCAAGAGGAGGAGCAGAGGGAGGGTGAAAGCGAGAGTGGGAGGGCCCAGGCTCAGGAGATTGGTCAGGTGGATGGGGATAACCGAGTGGTGCTGCTGTATCAGGATGGGTCTCTAGTGGTGCTCGGCACCCATCCTCCCTCTCCCTCGGCTTACACCGCATCCGCACCTTCCCTCACTGCACCGCAAACCTCCTCCTCCTCTAGAGCAGACCAATCTGATGCTGCTGACACGCATACCTCTCACCCTGCCTCAGCTGCCGCATCTGTGCTGGTTCCGCCTGTGCCTGCACCTTACCCTGCTGCTGTTGCTTCTGAGGCCCCTGTCAGCATCCCTACCAGCACCTCTGCTTCTGCCCCTGATGTTGCAGCCCCAAGGGCTGCTGGCAGTGCTGCTGCCACAGATGCTACAGCTGCTACAGCCGCGGCTGCTGGTCAACCAGGAGCGCCTGCCACACCCACGTCTTCTGCTACAGATGCATCGGCTGCTGCTGCTACAGCCGGCTCAACTGCTGCTGCAGCCGCCCCTGCCAGTGCTCCCCCAACCCGTCGCCCGCCCCTTCCCCCACCTCCCCCCACACCCCCACGCAAGCCTCTTTCTCCAGAGGAGGAACTGCAAATCGCTGTGAATACTCTGCTCTGCATTGTGGATAAAGGAGGGGCAGGCAGCAAAACAGATGCCCCAGTAGCAGCACCAGCAGCAGCAGCTTCAGGGGGAGAAACAGGAACGGGTTCATCTGGGGCGGGTTTATCTGCAGGGCAGCTTTCCAGGCCATTCCCGGCAGTGCCCTTGGATCTGATTGGCCGCCGGAAGCCGCCGGGGTGGAATCCTAGTTTCCCCCACGATTTCTTTGAGCATACGGTGTGTGTCACCCCAGAAGTGCGGTTCTCAGTGCAAGGCGTGAGAGGGAGCAGGAGTGGCGGAGGTGGGGGGAGTGGTGGGAGCAGCGGCAGCAGAAGCGGGAGTGGGAGTGGGAGTGGGAGTGGTAGTGCTGGTGGTGGTGGGAGGAGTGCTGGTGGTGCTTCAGGGTCTGCTGCTGACGTGGCAGGGATGAGTGACATGGACAGTGAAACTGTGCTGCATAATCTCATGGCTGAGGACGGCTTCCTGGAAGCTTCCTCCTCAAAAGGTTTCAAGGTGCGAACTTTCTCTGTGCTTTCGTCTCTGTGCTTTCGTCTCTGTGCTTTCGTCTCTGTGTTTTCGTCTCTGTGTTTTTTCCTCTTTCCCGAAGTGATTGCAATCAAGACCCTCTCGTGCATCCTCCTCCCCTTTTTCTTCCCTTCCGCTTTGCCGTGCCCAGATCACCATCACCAACACCAACTCCAGCCTTCTCCTTGTGGGAATCCGCGTCCTAGTGGGAATCTCTCCCTCCTCGCACACCCCCTCCTCCCTCTCTCTCTTCCACCGCTCCCTCCCCCTCGACCGCTCCTCCCGCCGCTGGTACGACCTCCCCTTCACTTCCGCCGAATCCCTGCTGGCAGACCGCCACGTCAGCATCCACGTGGGCCCTGCTTTTGGGGGGAATGCGCGGGCCAGGGTGGATGGTTTGGAGGTGTATGGGCGGCGGAAGGAGGAATTTGGGTGGGGGAGGGTGAAGGGGAAGGTGTTGGGGTGGTGGCAGGAGTGGAAAAGGGTCGTGGAGGAGGAGGGGAGGAGGGCGAGGGAGAGGGAGAGGGAGGTGGAGGAGGGAAGGGAGAGGAAAGGGAAGGAGGGGGAGAGGAGGGAGGGGGAGGGGGTGGAGAGGGGGAGGGAGAGCGGGGAGGAGAGGGGAGATGGAGGGGAGGGTTTGTGTGTGGAGGAGGAGAGAGAGGAGCGAGTGGTTGGGGATGCTTTGGCAGTGCTGACTGGGCTTTTGAGTGGTGGTGCTGGGGAGGGCTGGCAGCAGGGAGAGCAGCACGCAATGCAGGAGTCAGAGCGACAGGCAGAACAGCAGGCAGAAGATGGACAGAAGGGAGAGAAGGAGGAGCAGGTGGAGGGGCAGGAAGGGAAGGTGGATCTGGGGAAGGTGCAGCTGCTGGGGGAGGATCTGCTGAGGGAGCTACTCCAGGAGGTGTTGAGAGGAGGCCCGGAGGAGGAGGAGAAGGAGGAAGAGAGGCTGGGCAGTCTCGTGAAAGGTGGTGGTGGTGGTGGTGGTGGTGGTGGTGGTGGTGGTGGTGGTGGTGGTGGTGGTGGTGGTGGTGGTGGTGGTGGTGGTGGTGGTGGTGGTGGTGGTGGTGGTGGTGGTGGTGGTGGTGGTGGTGGTGGTGGTGGTGGTGGTGGTGGTGGTGGTGGTGGTGGTGGTGGTGGTGGTGGTGGTGGTGATTTAGGGTTCTCCCGTGGTGGTGCTGTGGGAGAGGGGTCCATGGCGGAGTTGCTGCTGGGCTTGTGCCGCTCGCTGCATCCATCGCAGTCAAAATTTGTTCAGGTATTCCGTCGAACTCTGTTTTGTCTTGTGAAAGGTGGTGGTGGTGGTGCTGTGGGAGGAGGGTCCATGGCAGAGTTGCTGCTGGGCTTGTGCCGATCGCTGCGTCCGTCCCAGGCTGATTTCGTCCAGGTATGTTTGGCCTATATAAGTTGGTGAACAGATAGAAAGTAGGAGCTGGTTCTTTGCTCCTGCCGTGCCCAAAGCTGACATGCCAGCTCGTTCCTCCTCCTGCGGATGTTACGAAGAGTCAGTCCCTCCACAGGCACAAAGATGCCGTGGCATGGCGCACGTTGCACTGCTGCGACCAGCCAGCCAGCCAGCCAGCCAGCATGTATGTGACATGCTGCGCACGTGGCATGTGCCTCTTTCCCTTAGAAGCTCTTCACAGCCTTCCTCTCCCGTCCCACCCCCCGTCCCACCCCCCGTCCCACCTCCCGGCCCACCTCCCGTACTTCATGTGTTTCAGGCCTGCGACTCAACAGAGCTGTCTCTCGCCTTGAAGACACAGCCCAACCATCGGGCATGTGCTCTCCAGAGGCACATGGACGCCATGGCGCACATTGCACTGCTGCGACCCTCCAGTGTATGCCACTTCTGCAAGAAGCTCTTCACAACCTTCCTCTCCCATCCCCGCCCCTCCCCCTTCCTCTCCTGTGGTTCAGGCCTGCGACTCAACAGAGCTGTCTCTCGCCTTGAAGGCACAGCCCAACCAGCGAGCCTATGCACTCCAGAGGCACATGGACGCTTTGGCGCACATCGCACTGCTGCGACCCTCCAGCCTCCGCCACTTCCTCTCCGCCGCACCCACTACAGGCGCTTCAAGCGTCGCTCCCCTAGAAGACCTGCATAACCGCCTTCTCTCGGTGCTTCAGGCTCCGGACGAGAGTGCTGCAGATGGGACAGCAGAGAGGGGCGATGACAAGGGTGCAGGCAGCAAGGGGATGGGTGGCAAAGATACAGGTGGCAAGGGGGTGGGGGAAACGGATGCAGATGGGAAGGGTGTGGGGGGGAAAGGAAAGGATGGTGGAGATGGCAAGGGGATGGAGGGAACGGATGCAAGTTGCAAGGAGGGGGCTGGTCGGGTTTCTGAAGGGGTGAAGCAAGCGCTGGTGGCCTCATACGTGCGACTGCTGGTTGGTGTAGCAGGCACTCTGCTACTCCCAGCTGAAGCCACTGGAGCTGCTGCTTCAGCTGCTGCTCCGGCTGCCCCTCCCACTGCTGTTTCTTCCACTGCTGCTGCTGCTTCTCCTGCTTCTGTGCCTGCTGCTGAATCCGGAGTGACGATGCCGTGGGTGGTTACCAGGTTACAGGGCCTCCTCCTTTCGTCTGATCCTGCTGTTGCAGAGGCGTGCTGGTATGTCCCACACACCATTCTTGTCATCTATTTCCCTACAAACCACTATTGTATGCTCCCCTTGTAAGCCGTGTGCACCTGCGACCCATTTCGTGTCCTTGTTGCAGGGGCGTGCTGGTATGTCCCACACACCATTCTTGTCATCTATTTGTGTTTTGAGTCGACTCAAAACACGCCTGCCTACACACCATTCTTTTCTTCTATTTCCTCTTGTAACCACTTGTAAGCTCCTCTTGTAAGCCGTGTGCACCTGTTTTTGAGGCGCCTTTTGAGGCGCCTCAAAAACCATCTATTTCCTTACAAACCACTTGTGTAAGCTCCTCTTGTAAGCCGTGTGCACCTGTTTTTGAGGCGCATCTATTTCCTTACAAACCACTTGTGTAAACTCCTCTTGTAAGCCGTGTGCACCTGCAACCCATTTTCATGTCTTTGTATCAAATACCCACCCCCCCATTGCGTCAAGCACACGTTACCAGATCAAGACCCACCCTAGACATTCCGTGCTCACCACGCGTTGCGCTCCCCTCTCTGTCTTTGCGTCTCTCCCTGCGTCAACTTGTGTCAACCACAGGACGGCTCTCTGTGCTCTCTTCCTGCCGCCGCCTCCTCTCCCGTCGCCGCCGCCACTAGCCTCCCGCCAGCCGTCCATGCAGCATGGAACAGCAGCAACCAACGTGGTTGACACAAGCAGCAAGCAGGCAGCAGCAGCAGCAGCAGCAGCAGGAGCAGCAGCAGGAGGAGAGGCACCCCAAATCTTCACATCAGAAGGTGCCCATGTTCCTGGTGTCAACACTGGGTTTGGCACAGATGGTGCTGCTCTTGGTGCTACAGCTGGAACTGCTGGTTTTGGGTCGTATGTGGAGAGTGGGGTGGTGGAGGGGGAGGGCTCAGCAGAAGACATGGATATAGACCAAACAGACATGACTCAACACATCAATCAAAACTTTGGGCATCATGAGTTCGATCAGAACATAGACCCGCAGCTGTCGGTGGTGCATTTCTGCTGTGATTCCTGCGGCGTGTGCCCCATTCAGGACGTGCGATGGCACTGCCTCGTGTGTGACGACTTTGACCTCTGTCACGAGTGCCACCAGGCCGTTTCCGCTGCCGCTGCTTCTGGTGGCTCCTCTGCTGCTGGTGCTGCAGCTGCTGCTGCTGCTGGTGCTGGTGCTGGTGCTGGTTCTGCTGCGTCTCTCTTCCCCTTGAGCTCTCACAGCATCTCACACCCCATGGTCTCCATTCCCATCGATCCTGCAGTGGATGGCATGGGGGAGGAAGGAGGAGTGGAAGGGCTTATGGATAGGCTTGGGTATGGGTTTGGTGGGGAGTCTGGTGAGGATGGTAATGCTGGTGAGGATGGTACCGCTGGTGAGTATGGTACTGGGTTGGATCCTGGTGGGTCAATCGGTGGCTCAGGGATTGGGGAACCAGGGGTAGAGGCACATAGTGAGATGGAACAGCAGGGGCAGGAGCAGGAGCAGCAGGGGGCCGATGGGACTGATGGGACGGACAAGAGGGAAAGCACAGGGAATATGGTGAAGGATGGAGAGGAGGAGGAGGAGGAGAAAACGAAGCAGGAGAAGGCGAGGTGGGAGGAAGTGAGGATGCATATGAACCACGTGGGACGGGAGGTGCTGCAGCAGCTGCTCTCCTCCTTCTCCCCTGGATGGTCCCTCCCGCCCCAACCCACTCTCACCCCCCCCTCCTCTGATACTTTCTGCCCTCGCTCCCCTCCCATGCCACTGCTGCAGCTGCTCTTGCGCGTAACAGGAGCAGGGGCAGCAGGGGTGGGGCCTATGGGGGTTGCTATGCCAAGTGTAGGTTCTATTGAGAAGAAGGAGAGGAAGGAGAAGAACGGAGGGGCAAGGAAGAGGAAGGAGAAGGAAACGGGTGACCTGGAATCGCCTGGAGCCCAGCTGCTGACGTGGACGCTGACGTGGCTGGTTGATGAGCTGGAGCACGGCTGGCGCCAGTTGTCCGGAGCGAGGGAAGGGCGTGTGGATGCAGGTGCTGGTGGTGTTAGTGCTGACATGGCAGCTTTGACCTGCCTCTTGGAGTTCCTTGTGCTGCTCTTCCGTACCTTGCAGTACCGTTTACAACCGCAGCAGCGGCAGCAGCAGGAGCGGGAGCAACAACAGCAACATGGTTCCAAGTTCGGGTTACACCTCCTTCTCAGCCACTCTTCATGCTCCGCTGCCACCAGGCTCCTCGCCCTCCTCCACTCCATTGTTTCCTCCTGCCACCCACACGCCCCACTCACCGACACATCTAGTTCCACCGAGACTAACCCCTCTGGGGTTAGAGGGAAGGGGAGAGAGGAGCTGCTGCAGTGGGCGCTGTGCCTTTCTGCTGAGGTGGCACCCGTATGCCTCACAGAGAAAGGTGTACCGAGTGAGAAGGAATTTCTGAGCGAGAAGGGATTTGAGTCGGCTTGGCAGCCACTGCTGTGTGCGTACCTGCAGAGAGCTGCTTTAGAGGGAGTCCTGGCTCAGCCCAAAGAGCAGGAGCGGACCAAAGAGGGGGCGGTTATAGCCCAGGTAGATTTGGGCCGATTTGGAGCGGTTGAGAGTGGTGGGAGTGGTGGTGGAGGGGGTGGTGATGGTAGGAAGGCGGGGGAGGAGGGAGGGGGTGGAGCGGGAGGGATGGGAGGGAGACAAGGGAAGTATGTGCGGCAACTGTTGCTGCTGTCCTGTGGGGGTAATGAGAGGGAGTGTGCGAGGATGCAGCGTGTGTGTAAGCTTGCTGCATACATGCATGGTCTTCGCTCCACTCTCCTCCGTTTCCTCGCTCTTCCTCCCTCCTCTCTTCACCTCCCATCTCTCTCCTCTTCCCAGCTCCCATCCCCCTCCTCTCCCCACCTCCCATCCCCCATCCCTCCACCTCTCCCCTACTCCATCAAAGTCCAATCCCTCCTCCTCCTCAACGCCACCCTCCACGTGGCGCAATCTCAGCCGTCCACGTGGCGCTGGTACTGTGCAGGCAAGGACACGTCAGCACTACAGCTGCTGGCGGCTGTAGCAGCCGTTACATCCTCCCCCCGCTGGGCGGCAGAGGATGAGCCTCTTGCTGTGTGCACGCTACAGCTGGTGGCTCTTGCGTTTGACTGTGATAGCAGCGGTAAAAGCAGCAGCAGCAGCAGCAGTAGCAAGAAAAGAAAGGGGTTTGGTGCGGTTGATATGGGTGCACAAGCAGCTACTCTGTTTGGCATCTCATTGGATTCCCAGCAGCAGACACAGGAGCAACAGGGGCAGCGGCAGCAAGAGCAGGGGAAGGCGCAGGGACAGCAGGCAGAGAGGGGCGGCAGCAGCAGGGATGGCGCGGCTACTGGCATTGTTCAGTTCATCGCCTCCTTTGTGCTCTTTGCTGCCTCTGCCAGGCTGCGATCCCAGGGCTGCATGGTCATGCAGGTATGTGTGCCTTCCTCATCACTATTTTCCCCCTTTCCCTCCCCCTCTCCCCCAACCCCATCCCCCCTCCCAATCCATCTCCCCCCTCCTCATAATTCCAGACTGTGGCATCATTCCCCCTTATCTCTCCTTTATCTTTCCAGACTGTGGCATCATTCCCCCTTATCTCTCCTTTATCTTTCCAGACTGTGGCATCATTCCCCCTTATCTCTCCTTTATCTTTCCAGACTGTGGCATCATTCCCCCTTATCTCTCCTTTATCTTTCCAGACTGTGGCATCATTCCCCCTTATCTCTCCTTTATCTTTCCAGACTGTGGCATCATTCCCCCTTATCTCTCCTTTATCTTTCCAGATTGTGGCATCATTCCCCCTTATCTCTCCTTTATCTTTCCAGACTGTGGCATCATTCCCCCTTATCTCTCCTTTATCTTTCCAGACTGTGGCATCATTCCCCCTTATCTCTCCTTTATCTTTCCAGACTGTGGCATCATTCCCCCTTATCTCTCCGCCATTTTCCTTTCTGTTGCCTGATTTCTAACTCCTTTATCCACCTTTCCCCTCCCCTTCTCCCATCTCCCCTCTTATCCCAACTGCAGGGAGTGTGGAAACATGCCTCTCCATCTCTCCGCCACTCCATCCTCTACTCCCTCCTGTCCATCCTCCCCCACACCCCTTGTCTCGGCTCCCACGCCCTCAGCTTCTCCCGCCTCCTCCTCTCGCTCCTCGCTGACCTGGCGTCCAGTCAGCAGCCAGCTGGCACCGCTGACGTGGCAGCACGAGCAGCAGCCGTGCTGCTGACGCAGCTGGCGCAGCAGAGTCAAGCGGTGGCCAACCATCCGAGCGCATCACTCAACTCTGCCTTGCATAGACTCCTGGGCCCTGAGAGCGACGGAACAATTGCTGCTGCTGCTGCTGCTGCTGGTACTGGTGGTGGGGGCAGTGGTGGGGGTAGTAGTGGTGCTGGCAGTGGCGGTAGGTCAGGTGCAGCAGGAACAGGAGCAGCAGGAGGAGCAGGAGCAGGAGCAGGAGGAGGGGGAAAAGGAGGAGGAGGAGGCAGGGGGTCGGTGTGGGGAAAGGCAGATGGGGAGCTGTGTGCGGTGTGTGCGTATCCCGAGGCGGTGTGGGGGAGTGTGAGGATGGAGAGTGTGCGGCAGGAGGTGCGCTTCTCCGACTGCCGCATCTTTCTGCGCCTCACAGAGCCGCATCTCATCAAGGTGAGTTGTTTCCCCTGACGGAGCAGTGTCAGTCAAGGTACGTCTATGGGTGGGGATGAGGCAGGTTCTGTCTGACAGGGGGGGCAGGAGATGCGCTTCTCCGACTGCCGCATCTTCCTGCGCCTCACCGAGCCGCACCTCATCAAGGTCAGCTGAACAGCACGGCTTATCAAAGTGAGTTGATTTACGCAAGGAGGCTTTTCGGAAGCTAAGGGTTTTTCAGATCTGCGTTTTTTTTCACCAGTTTTTACTGTTTGTTCCTTTGCTTAAGCGTCCTCTCTACTACTGCAGCCCTTCGAAACATGAGTCAGGGTGACCACAGATCCGCACCTCATCAAGGTCAGCTGAACAGCACGGCTTATCAATGTGAGTTGAGAGGTGCGCACCAGGGCTCCAGCGAACCTGGTTTTGGAGGTGCATCAAGAGGTGGTGTGGGGGAGTGGAGGATGGAAAGAGTGGTTCTACAGACACCTCAGAATCCCCCTCACACCCACCGCCTGTGCGGTCTTTCACACCCACCCTTGAACTCCCTTTGATTCCCTTTTACTCCCTTTGACCCCCTTTGAATCCCTCAGGGGTTCACCATGGTGGTTCACGATTCAAGGAGGGGTCGCTTTATGAATGACCTTCGGTACACCTGAAATAACCCCTTATATCCACCCATTGACTCCTGTTGACTCCCGTTGAATCCCTCAGGGGTTCACCATGATGGTGCACGATTCAAGGAGGGGTCGCTCCGTGAAGGATCTTCGCCTGCTGGGGAGCAACAGTGCCGCCTGCGACCTGCAGCAGATCAAGACCGCTACAGACGAGCTCTGCCGCCCGATCGCTCGCTGCCAGCTGGCGGCCGACCAGCCGGAGATCCGCGTGGAGCTGCCTCTGCCCGTGGCGCTGCGCTTCGTCGTCGTGGAATTTGCTTCCTTTCATGAGGTGAGTGAGTGAGCGAGGGGATGTTGATTGGTTGGGTGTGGCCCTGTCAGCGACGACGAATTGCATCAATGCAGGGAGCAGCCTCTGCCCGTGGGCCCAGCATTTTTCTTTCTTTCTTTTTGCGCGCGCGTGCGGTGACTGTTGAGTCGACTGAAATGTTGTTTCCTCATTGTTCACCGTCTCCCACCCTCTCCTCTCCCCGCGTTTTTCTCCTCGTCCTCAACCTTTCCGGCGCCACCAGAATCACCCATCGTCCTCGTCGTCGTCTCGCGAGTCGCTGCAGTGTCCGCGGTGTAACCGCGTGGTAACGAGCCGGCACGGCATGTGCACGGTGTGCCATGAGAACGCCTTTCAGTGCCGCCAGTGCCGCTCCATCAACTATGACAACCTCCACGCCTTCCTCTGCCCGCAATGCGGCCACTGTAGGTGCGTGCCACTGCAGGTGCGTGCCACTGCAGGTGACAATTTTGTCGCTGTAAGAACTTTTACATCCAGTTGCCCTAATGCCTTCTTTTCATGATTTTCCCTCAAATTTCTCGAAACAACCCCACCCCCTCCCAGACTCACCCCTCTCCCGCCCCCCACATCCCTTCTCCCACATTCTCTTGAATCTCCTCAGGGTCAATTTTTGAGTCAAGTGAAAAAACTATTTCCTATTTCTTACCTTCTCGCCCACCCTCCCTATCCCCTTCTCACCCCTTCAAAGGTACGGTCGGTTCGATTTCGCGCTGCAAGCACACCCCTGCCCCTCCTCCATAGACCCGATCCTCTCCGAGGAAGCTTCCAAGAAGGTCGCTGCAGCATTGGAGGCTGAGGCTGAGTCAGCAACTCGGCTCCGTCAGCAGCTGCAGGCTCTGCGCCGGCCAATCGCGCGCCTCGTTTCGTCAATCCTGGACGATGATGCAGCTGCTGACGTGGCAGCGGCTGATTTGCTGAATCCTGGCCCGATTTCAGCAGGAACAGCAGCAGGAGGGGCAGGAAGTGGAGCAGGAAGAGCAGGAAGAGCAGGAGGAGCAGGAGTAGGAGCAGGAGGAGTAGGAGCAGGAGGAGTAGGAGCAGGAGGGCTTAGCAGGGAGCGGGCAGTAGGAGGGCGATCAGGGTTGGAAGGAGGAGGGGGTCTGTCGTCCCTGCTGCAATTAGCAGCAGCAGCAGGCGGAGCAGAAGGCAGTGGTGCAGCAAGAGGGGCAGGGGGAGGAGGAGGGGGAGGAGCAGGAGGACAGGGAGGAGGCTCGGGAGGTCTTGGGTCCGCATCATCCTTACTATCAGCCTTGCTAGGAGGCAGGCTAGGGGCAGGACGAGGAGCAAGAGGAGGGGGCTCCGGGGCAGGAGCAGGAGGAGGAGGAGGAGGAGGAGGAGGAGGAGGAGGAGGAGGAGGAGGAGGAGGAGGAGGAGGAGGAGGAGGAGGAGGAGGAGGAGGAGGAGGAGGAGGAGGAGGAGGAGGAGGAGGAGGAGGAGGGGCAGCAGGAAGTGGGCTTCTGGATTTCGACCTGTTTGACGATCTGCTGGCTGCTGCTGCTGCTGGGCCTGGTTCTGATCCCGGTTCTGGTGGACTGTTCAGCTCTGGTCTATCCAGGGACACATCAGGGGGGGCAGGAGCATCAGGCATACCAGCAGCATTGGGGACATCAGGGAGAGCAGCGGGCGGAGGGACAGCATCAGCAGCAGCTGCAGCGTCGGCTGCAGCGGCGGCGGCAGCAGGAGAGGAGATGCTGCTGCAGCTGCTGGAAGCGTTCCCGCCCCTCTCTGCTGCTGGATCAGGTACTGGTAATTTGTCCAGCACTGGTACTGCTGGTGGTGGCAGCGGCGGCGGTAGTACTGGTGGTGCCGGTGCTGGTGGTGCGGGTGGTGACTCTTCCCTGTTCTCTACCACTGGTGGCCTCCCTCTTTCCTCCTCATCTATCGCAGCAGCCACGGCAGCAGCCGCTCAGGCGCACGTGAGCCGTCGGATCGCGATCCTGGGCGCGCTGTACGCTGACAAGTGTCGCACCGTGCACCGCGGGCTGGCCACGTCAGCAGAGAGGATGGGCGCGCTACAGATGGCCCTGGCTGAATACCACCTGCTCGTGGGGCAGCAGAGGAGGAGCCGCCGCAAGCAGCAGCACCTGCAGCTCCAGCTGCAATCATATCATGATCAGCAACAGCAGCAGGAGGAGAAGCAGTGGCGGCGGCAGCAGCAAGGCTTTGGTTATGAGGAGGCGAGCAGGGGGTTGGGTAGCAGCGGCAGTGGTGCCGGGGTGTGTTTGGATTGTAGCAGCACTTTTGTCGGGTTCTGCCTTCAGTGGTTGGAGGTGAGGCAGTGGGTGAGGGGAGGAGATGGGTTCAAATCAGGAGAGGATTTGAAGTGAGTTGCACGAGGTGTGTTAGCCCCAAATCGGATGACTTTTGAGGCGCCTCAGAACTCGTAAAGAACGGAATACGTGAGGAATGGAATACGGAATTTCGTAGTGATTTACACGGGTGCGTGATTCATTCTTGAGCCGCCTTTCTCTTTTTATGTCCCTTTTTAATGGCATCTCTTTTATCGATGTATCTTTCTCTCATCCAATGTGTTGATCCCTTCTGTTTCATGATTCATCCACCCACTCCACTCCCTCTCCCCGCCCCCTACTCCCTCCCCTCCTGCAGGCCCTCCTCCCCATCCCAGCAGCCCCCTCCGCCCTCCTCTCTCTCTCCGCCATCCCCACCATCTTCTCCTCCTCTCTCCTCTCTGGGCCCTCCTCCTCCCGCTCTCGTGCACGCCACCTCTTGACCCGCCTCGCACTCACCTCCCCTGTCGCCTTGCACAATCTACTGGATCTAATCGAATCTAAGGTCTCTGCTGCAGTGGGCGGCTATCTGCTTGCTGACGTGGCGCCAGCTGTCAAGGACCCGCTGCTGCTCCTTGCTGACCTGTCTTCGTCTCCATCTGAGTCAGACTCGAGCTCGTCGGAATCTGCCATTTCATCTCCTTCCAGGAAGCTTCTATGTTTGCAACTGGCTACTCGTCTGTTCTTCCAGGCCTTCGCCACCACCCATCTGCACCCCTCTGTATCGGACCATGTGCTGCTGCCCACCCTCCGTATAGTCACCTCCTCTTGCAAGCACGCTGCTGTAGAGGGGCCAGAGAGGCAGACTGAGGCGACTTCTCAGACTGAAGGAGATTCGTTACGGAGTGGGGACGGAATATCAGGGAGTGCAAATAGCAGTAGCAGTGGTACCAGTGGTACTGCTTCAGAGGTTGACCCTAAGCCGCCCGCAATCTGCAAGTTTGCCGCCCGCTGGCGTAATCGGACGCGGGAGCGGAGCGCTCTGGATGGCAGGCTTCGGCTGCTAGTGCGCTCTCTCGGCAGCTGGTGTTTCGGCAGCAAGCATCTCTTCGCCCAGCCTGGAAAAGATCACCTCACTGCAGATTTGATCGCCAGCTGTCGCTCGCCGCCCGGTCTCCGATCAGAGATCTGCGATCTGCTCGAGTTGCTGGCAGGGGTGGCCCCTCGATACAATCACGCTGTGCTAGAATCACTGCTGACCCTCCTCCCCGCAACCACACACGCAGGCGAAGCCTCAGCAGAGTTCTTCTCGCTCCTCTCCCGCCTCCTCTCCTCTCCTCACGCTCCTACCTCCAGCAGACCCTTGCAAAGCAGAACTGCATCCTCTTCCAATACATCCCTCCTTTCCACTCAGTTCCGTCCCTATTCATACTCATCAGCAGCCCAGGAAAGCCTCTCCCCCCTCCGACCCCCCCCGGGCACGGCTGCTCGTGCTCTCTCTTCCTCCTCTTCCTCTCGTCCTGCTTCCATCCGTTCCTCCTCTCACCAACCCTCGGTAGACCAGCCGAGCGTACAGCATTCGTCTCTGCTCTTCCTAGCAGCCCGAGGCCTCCTCCCTGCCCTCACCTCCTTCATCTCTCACTCCGTTTCCCACCTGCAAGCACAAGAATCCCGAGCCATGGCCCCGCTCCTTGCTCTCTCCTCCTTCTCCTTCTCACTCTCGCCTTTTGCTGCCTCCTCGGCTGCCGCTGCTGCCCCTGCTGCCTCTGCCTCGGCGGCGTATCCCATCCTGCAAGCCATTCGGCTGCTGCAGCAGGCCCTGCAGCATTCCAAGCTGCTGGGCCTCTTCTTTCAACCAGCTCGCGGGAGCAGCAGCAGGATTGCTGGCGCCAATACCAGCCAAAGCACCAGCAGCAGCAGCAGCAGCAGCAGCAGCTTTAGCAGGTGTTTGGTGCAGGCAGTGCGAGCATTGGTAGGGCTGCAGGGATTGGTGGTGACGAGAACCCAACTGGTGGTGGAGTGTCAGCAGCAGCTCTCTCTGCTGCTGCAGGGACTCGTGACAGAAGCCGAAGGGGAGAGAGCGGAAGGGATGGGGCGTGAGGAGGGGTGTGAGACGAGCGATGGGAGGAGGAGAGCGTTTGTGGCGGCGTGTGTGGAGGTGCTGGGGGAATTGGTGCTGGTGGAGGAAGGGGCGGTGCAAGATGCTGCTCTGTGTGACTCTTGGAGGGCGATAACTGTGAGTCATTGCTTGCTGTTTCCTGGTTCCTTGCTTCCTGCTGCCCTTCCCCCGCTTTGTGTTCGTTGGTTTCTTTCCCGCTGCTTCCCTTCTACCCTCTCCTCCAGGCCCCTCTAATACCACACTTCCCCTCCCTTCCGCCTGCTCGCTTCCCCTCTCCTCCAGTTCCTCCTCCGCCATCTCTGCAACACCATCTGCCCCACGTGCCCCGAGCCTGAATACGAGATGGTGCTCATCCCTCTTCTCCAGGCCCCTCTAATACCACACTTCCCCTCCCTTCCGCCTGCTCGCTTCCCACACCCTGCTACATTATCCCCCCTTCCCCTCCCCTCCAGTTCCTCCTCAGCCATCTCTGCAACACCATCGGCCCCACACGCCCCGAGCCCGAATACGAGACACTGCCCATCAAGGCAGTGACACTCACAATGCACCCCACCTGCTGTCTTCCTCTTCTCCTTCTTCCCCTTCCCTCCCGTGCCTTCGTGTCCCTTCTCCAGTTCCTTCTCCGCCATCTCTGCAGCATTATCTGCCCCACACTCCCTGAGCCCGAGTACGAGATGCTACTTATCAAGGCGGCCCTCCCTCTCAACCCACACCTCCCCTACCCCCTCCTCCTCTCGCCTCACTCTCCCCCACCTTCCCCCCCCCCCCCTCATTCACCCCCCCTTCCCCTCCCTTCCAGTTCCTTCTCCAGCATCTCTGCAACACCATCTGCCCCACACGCCCCGAGCCCGAGTACGAGATGCTACTCATCAAGGCAGCGACACAGGAGGAGTTCCTCCCAGGGCGCCTGCAGCACAACCCCTACTCCTCCAAGCAGGTGAGCTGTCCGTTTCTCTGCTGCTCGTTCTGGGAAAATTCCCTTCTCCCTCCGTGCCAGTGCTAGCTCTACGTTCCCCCGTCTCCTCGCGCCCCGAGCCCGAGTACGAGATGCTGCTCATCAAGGCAGCGACACAGGAGGAGTTCCTCCCAGGGCGCCTGCAGCACAACCCCTACTCCTCCAAGCAGGTGCACTGCGCTGTCCGCCTGCTGGCATGCATGGCAAGGTTAACAACTGCTGCCAGCAGCTGCTGGCCCTTTTCGTAATTTCTCGAATATATGTGCTGCTGCTGCTGGCACCAATTGGACTGATGCAGCAGTTGGATCGGTGCACGATCCGCATTGGACCACTGCGGGCTTGTAACCAGGAACTGGAGCTGCACGGGCTGATGGACGACGACTATGGCATGTCGCTGCTGGTGGGGTTGCTGTTTTCTGTTGGCACTGACAGAGCGTTCCAGGTGGGCCTGTTGATGCGGGAGGTCAAGAACCTCATCTGTAAAGAGCTGGAGCTGCACGGGCTGATGGCGATGACTATGGCATGGAGCTGCTCGTGCTGTCACTGGCACTGACGATGCTTATGGCCTTATTCCACCCTCTAAACCCGCTTGTGTGCATTCCAGGTCGGCCCTCTAATGAGAGACGTCAAGAATCTCATTTGTAAGGAGCTGGAGCTGCACGGGCTGATGGACGATGATTATGGCATGGAGCTGCTGGTTGAAGGGCAGATCTGCTCCCTGGGGCTGTCTGTGCGGGCCGTGTACGAACAAGTGTGGAAGCAGAGAGGAGCCATGAGTGTTATTTTCAGACTGCAGGTGAGTCCAGGTGCCGCCTTTCGGTTGCACGTGAACGGCGTGCTGCGCTCGTGTGTGTGTGTGTGGGAAGGAGGGAGTGTGTGTGGGAGGGAGGGAGTGTGTACCTCTGTGTGTACTACTGATTTGGTAGAGCCCAATAGTGACATAGCTGGAGGAGGGGGGCGGGGCGACACCCACACTACTCACACTACTCGCACCTATTTCCCATTTCCCCGGTTTTTAACCCCACCGCACCCATTTCCACTTTTGCCAGGGCTTGGATGGAGAGGCGACAGAGCCGATAGTGAAGGAGCTGGAGGAGGGAGGGGAGGAAGCCACTGACCCTGAAAAGGAGTTCGCTGCTGCTGCTGCCCTGGTGCCTGTCAGTCGTGCTGCTTCTGCTCTTCGTGCCTATAATGTACTTCACACAAGGAGACTTGTGGGGGGTGAAACAGAGGATAGGGCTGCAGCAGGAAAAGAGAGGGAGGAGGGGGGTGAGGAGGGAGGTGAAATGGGCAGCCCAGACGGTTTGCTGCTGCTGCTGAGGCTGTTAGAGGAGGTGGCAGATGAGGAGTTAGCGAGTGGGGAGGATGACGTGGCAGACCTCCTGAAGCTGCTGCACACCGCGTGCCTGCTGCGGACCAATCGCGTGCATCTGCTGCGCTCCCACGCGCTGCCACGTCTGCTCGACCGCGCCACTCGTGCAGCTCTGTATGCGCACGGCGTTGCCACGTCAGCGCTGGGAGGAGGCTCGGCGGCAGGCTCTGCCGGGGCGGCGGGTGGTGCGGCAGCCTCCCAAGCCTCGCTGGCAGGTTCGGCGGAAGCTGCAGCTGACACCTTGCTTCGGATTGTGGATCTGCTGATGGTGGAAGGTGGTGAGGGTGGCGGCATGGGGGCCGAAAGAGGTGCGGGCACTGCAACAGCAGAGAAGGAAGAATATTGCCAGGATGAGAAGGATGAGAAGTATGAAGGATCGGGGCGGGGAGAAGAAGCAGTGAGAGTTTTCCTCGAGAAGCTTACTGCTGCATCGCTCTCCCAGGCTGCTTCTGGGGTAGGCTTATCTGGCCCAGGCGTGTTTACAGCAGGAGGAGCAGGGGGAGGTGGAGGAGGTGGAGGAGCAGGAGGAGGAGCAGGTGGAGGGAAGAAGAAGAAGAGGGATTTTTCGGAGAGTGTGGCTCGGATTTTGCCGTATATGACGTATGGGGAGGGCAGGGCTATGGGGGTTCTGGTGGATCATTTTTGCCCCCTGCTGCTGGATTGGGCTGGGTTTGATCGGTTGGTGGGGGAGTTGAGAGGGGTGGAGAAGGATGGGGATGGGTTGGAGAGTGTTACAGAAAGCGGGAGGGAGGAGAGTGAGGGTGGAGAGAAGAAAGAGGGGGGAAGAAGGGACGTGGAGGAGGAGAAGGAAGGGGGGAGTAGTGGAGGTGGGGAGACGGGGAGTGGAAAGGAGGGGGGTGAGGAGGAGAGTGAGGAGGAGAGGAGGAGGAAGGCAGTGCACTGGTGGCAGATGGCGGGGCATTTCGAGCGGCTGGTGGGAGCAATCAGGCTGGACGGCAGTGGGCTGAGGCTGCGCGCTCTCATCCTGGAGAGGGGGATTCCGCAAGGTAAGGGGCAGTTTGCAGCACTTTATCCCTGCAGGCCGATTAGGAGAGTGGTATGGATATATCATATATGTATCCTCCTTCCCTCCCGCCGCCCTCTCCCCCACCTGAAATCTCTCTCATCTCTTGCCTCCTACCTGCCTGACCACACGCTCTCCCTCCTTTCCCTGCCCCTTCTCCTCAGCCTGCTTCTTAGTCTCTGCTTTTGAATTTGAGCTGCTGATAACTCACACCCTCCCCTCCTTTGCAACTTGCGCTTCCCCTCTCTTCCCCACTCTCTCCCGCCCCTCCCCTCCCTGTCTCCTCCTTCCCCCAGCTGCTGTGCGCCATCTGCTCGCGTCCTTCCCCCCCACCGCCCTCTGCCCCACCTCCGACCTCTCTGATCTCCGCCCCCTCCCCGCCTGGCAACACGCGCTCGCCCTGCCCTCCCTGCCCCTGCTCCTGGGTCTGCTGCTCGGCCTGTGCCGCGGCCATCCCCCCACACAACGAGTCCTGCTGGGCACCGGTGGGGGGAAGGGGGTGGCGGACGCTGGTGGTGGAGAGGAGGTGGAAACGGGTGGGGAGGAGGGGAGGGTGGGCGGGGAGAAGGTGGAGCAGGGTGCGGAAAACGGGGTGGTGGGGGCAGAGAAGGGGGTGTTACCACTGCTGCTGCTGCTGGAGGGGGTGGTGGGGTATGATGGGCTGGGAGCGAGGGCTGAAGCGCTGCTAGAGGTGCTGAGCGGTGGAGAGGATTCGGGAGAGGTTGGCGAGCAAGGGGAGGGAGGGAAGGAGGAGGGGAGAGGAGATGGGGTGGATGAGGAGGTTCGGTTGGCAGTGGAGACTCTAAGGGCAGCAGCAAAGGAGAGGAGGAGAGAGAAGGCAATGCGACGACGCATGGAGCTGATGAAGGTGAGTGAGTGAGTGAGGGAGCGAGTGAGTGAGTGAGTGAATGAGGGAGTGAGGGAGGGTGAGTGTGAGAGTGCAGGTGGGAATGTGTATGGGAGTGGGAGGATGTTGTACAGTGTGACACTATACTGATGAACGTGGGTGTGTGGGTGTGAGGAGCTAATTCCCTTCATTTTTTCTTCCTGATCAAACTCCCTCCCCTTAGGTTTGCTCCCCACCTCTTCCCCCCGGTTTCCCTCTCTTCCCTTTGTTGCCACCACAATTTCAACGCATGGGGGTTCAAATCCCGCCTGACACCTACCGGTTGTTGAGACGACTCAAATTTCCCTTGCCTCTTCGTCCCTCACCTCTTCGTCCCTCACCTCTTCGTCCCTCACCTCTTCGTCCCTCACCTCTTCGCCCCTCACCTCTTCGTCCCTCACCTCTTCGTCCTTCACCTCTTCGTCCCTTGGAACTTCTTTCCTCGTCTTCCCCATGCATCTCCTCCTTTTTTCGCCACCGCAATCTCAGAGCTTGGGGGTTGAAGCCACGTGTATGAAGAAGTGTTTTTAGACTTCCCTTTGAAAGGGAATGTGTTTGGCCCAGCTGGCACCTGTGTCACGTTTTGAGCACGGGGTGACGTCTCAAACTTCAACTCGCATTCCCTCTCCCCACCCTCTTTGCTGTTGTTCCAGAGCATGGGGGTTAAATCCCAGCTGGCTCCTACTGGGAGCCACCGCATCGTGCTGACATCAGCAAAACCGTCAGTATCTCGGGAAGGCGCAACCAGTGCAGGCCCCACGTCCACTGTAGGTGCAGGCAGGTCGGGGGATGAACTTGAGGAAGAGAAGGAGGTAGTGGAGGAGGAAAAGGAGAAGGGAGAAGAGGGAGAGGAGGGAGAAGAGGAGGAGGCTAGCGACGCAGGTGCCTCTGCTCTGCTCTCATCTGCTTTCCCTTTCAATGCACGAGATCTACAGCTTCGCCGCCCCATCGCGCTGCCTCCTGCAATGCGTGCGCTGCGCTGCATGGTGTGCCACGAGGGCTACCGCCTGCGTCCCAACGAGCTAATTGGAGCCTACACCTTCTCCAGACGCTTCTCCGACCTCTCCACTTGGAGCCTGAGTAAGTACTCTTGTTTGTTTGTGTGGTAAAAACGCCGATCTGATCTGCTGCCTGGTGTGCCATGAGGTGTACCGGCTTCGTCACAACGAGCTGAATCAGATCAGGGCTTACACCTCCAGACTCTTCTCCGAACTTTCCACTTGGAGCTTAATTTAGGATTGTTTCGTGTTTGTTTGGTTCATATGCTTTCCGCGCTACATGGTGTGCCACCGCCTGCGTCCCAACGAGCTCATTGGAGCCTACTCCAGGCTCTGGAGTAGGCTCACACACACCTACTCCAATGAGCCTGAGTGAGTCATTTTTCTGTTGATTTCTTGTGTTTTAACGAAAGATCTAAGTAGGAATTTCAACACTTTCCACTTCCCCTGCTCTTTCCCCATTGCTCCCTGTGTGCTGCCTGCCCCTCCCCTTGCCGCCTGTCCCTCCCGCATCTTCTCCAAAGCAGCTTCCACAACCAAGAGGGTGGCAGTGGATTGGTCTATCTTGACCGTTTCTCCTTTCAACTCCATCCACTTCTTCTGCGTTTTCCCATGTCTCTGTGTGCTGCCTCCCCCTCTTTCCCCTCTTCCAAAACAGCATCCGCAGCAAGCAGGGTAGCAGTCCATTGGTCTGTCTCCACAGTCTCTCACTTCAGCACCATCCACTTCTCCTGCTGCTCATGTCCCTCTTTTCACCGTTCTCTTGCCTCTGTCCTTCCCTCCCACTTCCCACTCTCTTTCTTCCCCTCACAGCATCCACGACAAGCAGGGTGGCCGTGAACTGGTCTATCTCAACGGTCTCTCATTTCAACACCATCCACTTCTCCTGCCACGACCGGGCCAAGCGTGCCGATTCCGCCCTCAAGCTGCCCAAGCGCGAGTGGGACGGCGCAGCCCTCAGGAACGGAGGAACCCTCTGCAATGCCCTCTTCCCTCTGCGGGGCCCTCAGGTAACAAAGAGTTTAACTCTACTGTCCTTCTGCTAAGCGGAGGAAGCTATTTTCCTAAGCTGCAGCTCGCCAAGTCTCACCTCTGCAATGCCCTCTTCCCCCTGCGGGGCCCTCAGGTAAGGCCGCTTTTTTAGTAGCACCTTCCCCTCCAAAAAGTAATGCGAGTGCTACACAATACATATTGGCAGCACTACTGCCTGACAGCCAAGGCCAAGCAAGCCCATTCTTCCCTCAAAGGATGGCCTCGCCAGTAGTGTATGCCCAGGCTGGACGCCTGGTGGGAGGTCGTTTCCTCCCTCTGCCACGTCAAAAGCCTCCCACTTCTTTCTCCTTACATGCTCTTCCCTTTCTCTTCCACTCACCCTTACAGGTCTCCCCTGCAGTGTATGCCCGCGGGCTGGTTTCCTGGTGGGAAAGCGTCCTCTCCCTGAGCCACGTGGACGGTTCTCGCTTCCTCGTGCTCCTCCTTACACGCACTTCCCTCCCCATCCCTGCGTTCCCACCCCAACAGGTATCCTCAGCAGTGTACGCCCGTGGGCTGGATTCCTGGTGGGAGAGCGTTGCAAACCTCGGCCACGTGGACGGCTCTCGCTTCCTCGTCTTACTCCGGGACCTCCGCACGCTCGTCGCGCGCTTCGTGCTCGCAGCCAGCTTCAGCACTGACTGCCACGGGGGCGGGCGCGAGAGCAATGCGCGCTTCCTCCCCTTCCAGCTGCACATGCTGCTGCACCTCTCCTCCTCCGCCTCCTCTTCCCAGCGACACTCCCTCGACTCCTCCCTATCTGCCCTGCTCGACCTTGCCTCTCAGTTACAATCCAGGCTTCCCTCTTCTCTTTCCTCCATCTTCCCCTGTTCATCACCTTCGACTTGTGATTCTCCCTCACGACAACCACCCCCCTCCTCTTCCTCTCCTTCCAGATCCTCCCCTCTCTCCTCCTCCCCGTTGCGATCTTCCCCTCTTGCCTCCTCTCCATTACAGTCCTCCCTCTTCCTCTCCTCCTCCCCTTCAGCCTCCACCTCCTCCCCTCGCTCTTCCTCTCCCTCCGCCTCCTCCCTCCATCTCCCTCGCTCCTCACTCTCAACAGCAACAGTCGCAGGGGGGATGGGCGGCAGTGTGTGCGATGCCATGCTGGCAACTGTGCTGACGTGGCCCCTGCACAAGTGGCAGCGATCGCGCCACCTGTTCCTGCTGCTGGCAGTGCATGAAGCAGCACGGGCACATGTGGTGGGTCTGGATGGGTGTGCCGTGCTGCCCCCTTCTCTGGCCGGACCTGCTCTGGCTGCTTCTGCTCCTTCTGCTTCTGCTGCTGGTGGTAGTGGTGCTGCGGCTGGTGCTGCTGCTGCTGGTATTCCTAGCACAAGTGCTGCTGGTGGTGTTGATAGGAATACTGCTGCAGCTGGTGCTGCCGCTGCAGCAGACAGCAGTGCAGTGGGAGGGTCAGAACCACCACCGGCGCCACCACCACCAGCTCTGCGGGCAATGCTGCTCTTTGCATCCTTCGTGGATCGGCTCCATACATTCCTGAAAGCTTCTACCTCTACTGGAGAAGCCTCTAACAAGGATGCCGAGGATCGCAGTGAAGAGACCAAAGAATCAGGTTCTGCTGCAAGTCAAAACACTGCAGCGGAAGGAGTGGATGGCCAAAGGAAGGGAGGTAGAAAAAGCAGGGAAATCTCATCCCCGGTGCAAATACCTGGGTCATCTGCACCAACTCCCATCCCATCGGTTTCGAGCCGATCTCCTGGCACGCGCAAGGTGGCTTCTTCTTCCAAGTCAATTTCTCCGTTGTCGCGGTCGAAGCAGGAAATTGCGGCGGATCGAGCATGGGAGGATTTGGCGAAGCAGCGATTGGTGGATGTGCCGTTGATGGCGCGGCTTAGCCTGGAGATAATGCAATGGATGGAGACTGTGCATGGGTCGCCTGGACAGGTCGATTGGAATGTGCTCGACAGGGTTACAGGTCCTTGGCCAGGTTCGGGCTGTGAGCCTGCTGTTGCTGAGCTGTTTAACCATTTTGTGTCTCTGCTTTGAATCATTCTCTAGCTAGACTTGAACTAGGATTTGGTGAATTTGTAGTAGATTTTCTGTATTATATAGGTTTTAGGTATCTAAACCCACTGTACTCTAGCTTTTGTGTGAATCTGCTTCTGGACCTTGCCTTGGTGCCACGTAGCAAGGCATCCAGATCAGATGCGGAGGATTCTGAACCGACGTCACCCTGTCGTCAGAGGGCACTCAAACCAGCGATGCCTGCACATGTGGCGAAACGTAGCGAGGTGAGAGGATCTGTTTACGTGGCTGGTGTTTTGATGGAATGTTTCGTCATTGAAGGGTAACGTGTTTCGATGAACGCAGCATCAATCGCATAGATAAACTGGCCCACGATTGTGGTTCCTCGAGGCAAGTCTTGGAAGGCGTGTTTCAGTTCACCCCAGGTGAGATCACGCCCATCCTTTTCAGCTGGTTGCAACGAAATGCGCGACAGTTTCTATTTCGGAGCTGCAATAATGCTCACAAGCTGAGCTTAGTCTCTGTACTGAACAATGTTCCGAACTGCGCTGCCTTTGGAAGCGAAATCGACACCCTCGCAATTTGTATATTCCGAATAGCTTCGCGGACAGTTCCTGCTGGACAGTTCCGACCTAGAAACTACTCCTTGAGATTGACGAGTGCACGTTAAAATTTTAGTTTCTCCGCCAAACGCAAGTAGCTTTCCCCCACAACCATGGCGACCGCAGCTCTCTGCTCCGCTCCCAGCCTTTCCGCAAGCCTCGCGCTCTCGCGGAGGGGAGAAACCGCCGGAGCACAGCAGTTGCCAGTCGCGCTAAGCAGCGCGGCCGCAAGAACCGGCGCGTTCGACGTGGCCTCGCTGCGGAAGCAGCGCGGTCGTCATGGCGTAAATGTTGCTCGCCAGCCAGTGCAGGCCAGAGCTGGCGATAAGGTACTTTTTTAATTAATCTTTTACGAAACGTTATCTCGCATATCAGAACCGCAAAGAGATCCTGCCTAATCAATGCCTTATCGTGGTCATTGCGGGCCATGGCTAGCGGAATGGTGCTCCATCGATCAATGATTTAGGAGGCATTTTTCCTTGCGGGCTTGAGCACGCAAAAGGGTACAAACCCAATCAACGCATTGTCATTGTCGGTGCTGGTCAGGCCATCTCTTGAGGGTAGTGTTGTGTTGATAAGATCCCAAGACCAATGCATTCCTTATTTTCCATGCCAGGCAGCTGCCTTCAAGCTTATCTGTAGCCCCGGAGCGAGCGTCTCTTCCCTAAGGGAGATCTCGACATCAATTTTGCGAGCGAACGCCTTCGCATTTTCAGCTGTTTTTCGTTTTCTTCCGTTATCGTCTTTTTTCCATGCACAGCCTTCCCCATCCGCCGAGCCGTCCGATGCTTCTCGCGTGGCAACAACGGTGGCAGGCAAAGCCGTCGCCGCCGTGCTAGCTGCTATTCAGGTGAGTCATTGGTTAAACACTCTGTAACAGAGTAGCACACAATAGATTAACACGCACTGTAGTATCCTTCACTAAAGAAACACGACAGTAATGCGCTGCAGGTCGTGATGCGTATGACGGATCTCAGTCGAGTTGGCAGAAATCAATAAGCGTTAAATTTTGTCAATGTATTCAATTGTGCAAATCTGCGCGAGACAATCACACCCAAATCGCGCTTCGTGCACTCCCCCATTCATCGTCCATTCCCCCACTCCGCGCCTGCATCCCCTGATTCGCCTGTCCATTACCCCACTCCCGCGGGTATTCTCCCTTTTCCTCACGCATCCCCCATCCTTCAAAATATCAGGTGCTTGCGCCAGTGTCCGCCGCGTTCGTTCCCATACTGGCGCAGCCGCCACCCGCGGAAGCCATCCTGCTCTCCCCGGACACCAAGGTCCCGCGCAATGCTGACGTGGCGCTCCGCCGCGCCGTGCCAGTTGTCAACGAGGCAGTCAGGAAGATCCAAGTAAGGCCAGATGATATTTTTGTTCTTGTGGGGATAAGCAGCCTACATAACAAATCAGGGTAAGAAGTGTTTTGAGTCTACTCAAACCAGGTTCAGAAGTTCCTCCATATAATATGAAGCCATACAAGACAATACAAGCAGGCCAACCCATTCTGCTCTTCTCTTTCTCCCATCCCCTTCATCCATTCCCTCACTACCCCCTTTACCAACCCCCCCAACCAACGCCAATCAGGATGAGTTGGAGAAGATCACAACGCTCATGCGCAACTCACAGAAAATGCCTTACAAGACAATGCAGGCAGGCCATCCCATCCTGTGCTTTTCCTTCGCCCCTTCCCTCCCCTCCCCTCCCCTCTCCTCCCCTTCCCTCCCCTCTTCCGCCTCCCCCCTACGCCAATCAGGATGAGCTGGAGGAGATCACAACGCTCATGCGCATCCCACAGAAGAAGCCATACAAGACAATGGCAGCCAACGTGAATAAGGCAGTCAAGGTGTGTGCGAGGGAAGATTGATGCATGCACGTTGTATTCCACACCATGCCAAATATCACCACAGACAGACCAATGCAGTGACGAGAGTTCCCCACGTCGCACGCTATGCCCTGATGCAATCTCCACTCCCATGCGGCAGCCACATGCACCATTCTTTCTCTCGCCCATCTCACCATTTTGCAACCCTTTCACCATTCTCCCCACCCTCTGCAGCGACCTCTCTCCTCGCCTGCCTCCTCACTTCCCTTCTCTCCAACTCCTCTCGCTTCTGCATCCCTCATCCCTTTTCCTTCCCATCGTTTATCCCTCCCCTTTTCCCCCCTCTCTCCTTTTTTCTTCCCTTTCTTGTTCTCCTGTGTACATTCCCTCGTCCCCCCTTGCAGTTGGCGGAGGCCAATCAAGCAGCGATTCTAGATGCTGTGCCTGCTGCCGACAGGGAGAGGGCTGCAGCCATTTACAACGACCTTGTCAAATCCAAGGTGTGTGGTGTGGTGCTGTGCGGTGCTGTGCGTTGTAATGCTATGCAGTGTTGTTCGGTGGTGTATGGTGCTGTGCTGTGCCTGCTCCCGACAGGGAGAGGGCAGCAGCCATTTACAACGACCTTGTCAATTCCAAGGTGTGTGGTGTGGTGCTGTGCGGTGCTGTGCGTTGTAATGCTATGCAGTGTTGTTCGGTGGTGTGTGGTGCTGTGCTGTGCCTGCTGCCGACAGGGAGAGGGCTGCAGCCATTTACAACGACCTTGTCAATTCCAAGGTGTGTGGTGTGGTGCTGTGCGGTGCTGTGCGTTGTAATGCTATGCAGTGTTGTTCGGTGGTGTGTGGTGCTGTGCTGTGCCTGCTGCCGACAGGGAGAGGGCTGCAGCCATTTACAACGACCTTGTCAATTCCAAGGTGTGTGGTGTGGTGCTGTGCGGTGCTGTGCGTTGTACTGCTATGCAGTGTTGTTCGGTGGTGTATGGTGCTGTGCTGTGCCTGCTCCCGACAGGGAGAGGGCAGCAGCCATTTACAACGACCTTGTCAATTCCAAGGTGTGTGGTGTGGTGCTGTGCGGTGCTGTGCGTTGTAATGCTATGCAGTGTTGTTCGGTGGTGTGTGGTGCTGTGCTGTGCCTGCTGCCGACAGGGAGAGGGCAGCAGCCATTTACAACGACCTTGTCAATTCCAAGGTGTGTGGTGTGGTGTGGTGCGTTACGGTGCTGTGCGGTATGTCGTGTTATGTGCTGCGGTAGCCATCTTCAAGGATCTGATCGAATCCAAGATGTGTGAGCTGGTGTTTTGTCACAGACGTCGCGTCATTGGCTGTGCTGTGCGGTGCGTTGTCGTGCGGTTCGTGCTTTCCTTCTTTGATCCTTCTTGCTCTCTTCCACCCTCGTTTTCATCGGAGTGGCTTCCCCGGCCGGCCTCCTAGCAATGATAGAGGACGAGGACCCTGACCGCATGGCCATCTGCCTGGCCTCATTGCTCTCTTTCCTACTTTGCCTCCTTCCTTCCTCTTTGCCCTCCCCGCCTTCCTTTTCATCAGAGCGGTTTCCCCCGGCCACCTAGCAGCCATAGAGGACAAGGACCCTGACCTCCTGCTTATCCGCCTCGCCTCATTGCTCTCCCGTTTCACCTTTGCCTTGTTTCTCCCTCACACTTTTCTCTCTTCAGAGCGGTTTCCCCGGCCTCCTAGCAGCGATAGAGGACAAGGACCCTGACCGTGTCTCCATCCGCCTCGCCTCCTCCCTCAACGACGTGGCTAATCTCTCGCTGCTGCAAGCCACAGGGCTCCAGTTCCTCATCCCCAACCAATACGCCAGCCTCCCGCGGTGGGTGTGTGTAAGCTTATGTGTGTATGCCACTGAACAACCGACTGCTTATAGCTGAAGCAGGCCCACCCACCCAGCCCCAATCTCTCTTTGCTGCAAGTCACGCCACGGGCCTCCAGTCTCTCATCCCCGCCCACCAAATCTATCGGTATCCTTGTGCAGGTCACGTTATTGCTCTTGCAGTTTGACAATGCACCTTTTTCCCCTCGCCTCTTTTGTCTCTCAATCTCCCATTTCGTCCTCTTCCCCTTCTCTACCTCCGTACCATCTCCTCCCTTCACACTCCCCAGCCTAACAGGTTGGGCAACAGTGGAATTCGCAGTGCTCAGGGCGGATGGCTCTGACTTCTTCCTCCCTCTCTCCCCGTCCTCCCTTGTTCACCTTCCTCCCTCCTCCATCCCCTCTTTTTCCAACCCCCAGGCTAACAGGCCGGGCAACAGTGGAGTTTGCAGTGTTAAAGGCGGATGGTTCCTACTTCTCCCTTGATAACGGAGCCACCTCTGCTCTCACAGGCGTGCTGCAGGTGGGTTTGATTCACTTGCATGGGATGGGATGGGTAAGGTGTGGTTTGATCAGGGCGTGCATGCAAGTCTCTTGATGAAGAATCCACGTCTGCCCTCACAGCCGTGATGCAGGAGGTCTTAAACAAACTCCTTTCCCAGTTCCCTTCCCTTCCTGTTCCCTTCCCTTGCTTTTCCTTCCATCCGCTTCTCTCTCGTTATCTCTTTTCTCCCGTCGAGTTTTCTTCCAATTTCTTTTCCTTCCATTCCCATTCTATTCCAATTCCTTCCCATTCCCTTCCCACTCCCTTCCCATTCCCTTCACATCCCCTTCCCTTCCCATTTTCTTCGTCACTTCCCCTTATCTTTCCAATCCCTTCCCATTCGTCATTTCTCCAACAGGTGGTTCTGGACGGTTATTCTGCTCCTCTCACAGCCGGAAACTTTGCTCAGCTGGTGAGGAAAGCGAGGGAGTGGGGGAAGTGAGGGGGTGAGGGAAGGAATGGTGCGAGGGAGTGAGGGAAGTGCGAGAAGTAAGTTAGGGCGTGAGTGCTGGACAGTTAGTTCTGTCCTTCCGCAGCCCAGCTCATTCTGTACTCGCCAGGTGAGGCGCCGGGCATACGACAGACTGGCAGTAAGAGCAACGGACCTTGCCATGCTATCTGCCAGTCATACCCCAGATCCAACTCCCACCATATCTTCCTGACTTGCCAGATCTCCCACCGGGCATATGATTGAGTCGCAGTGAAAGTCTCGGGCCTCGCCGTGCTATCCAATGCTCGAGATCCCTCCGCTCGCAGCTCAAGCGTTTTTTTTCTTTTGTTTTTTTTCTTTTTCTGCAACCGCATTCCCGGTTCCCTCCTTCCTCAACAACAGGTATCCCGCCGCGCATATGACGGAGTGGCAGTGAAAGCCACTGACCTCGCCGTCCTATCCGACGCTCGAGATCCCTCTGCCGGCCGGGACGTGCCTCTTGAGATCATGCCAGCTGGCGAGTTCCAGCCCATCTACCGCACACCGCTGGACGTGCAGGTAGGGAGGGGAGAGGGGGAGAGGGGGGGAGGGGGGGGGTGGGCGCTTGCTGCACCAGGTGTGCGGGTAGGGAGGTGCAGGTGTCTCTTGAGGGAGGCGCTGCTTGAGGGACGTGCCCCTTGCGATCATGCCAGCTGGGGAGTTCCAACCCATCTACTGCACACCGCTGGACATGCCGGTATGGAGGGAGATGCTTCTGAGATGCTTATTAGATGCTTTTGCGATGCTTCTGAGATGCTTATGAGATGCTTCAGAGATGCTTCTGAGATGCTCCTGAGATGCTTCTGAGATGCTTCTGAGATGCTCCTGAGATGCTTCTGAGATGCTTCTGAGATGCTCCTGAGATGCTTCTGAGATGCTCCTGAGATGCTTCTGAGATGCTTCTGAGATGCTCCTGAGATGCTTCTGAGATGCTTCTGAGATTCTTCTGAGATGCTCCTGAGATGCTCCTGAGATGCTCCTGACCTTTCCTCTCCCCTACAGGACGGAGCTCCTAGTGCTGCCCATGGCATTGTTCGAGGCACTGGTCGTGGCCCACTCTCCACTCCAGGCAGCGAATCCTTTCTTTCTGTGACCTCTTTCCTCCTTATAACCACCCCTTACCCTCTTGCCCTCCCCTCTCCCCTACAGGACGGGGAGCTCCCAGTGCTGCCCATGGCAGTGTTTGGAGCTCTGGTCGTGGCCCACTCTCCTAAAAGCAAATCCCTTTTCTGTCCAAGCTCCTCCCTTTCCTTCTCATGGCCATCCCTGATCTGTCCTTCACAGGATGGGGAGTTTCCATTGCTGCCCATGCCAGTTTAGGAGCACTGCTCATGGCCCATTCTCACATGCATGCTTCCCTCCTCAGTGTTCCTCACACCCCTGCTCTGCCTCCTCTCCTCTCCCCTACAGGACGGTGAGCTCCCAGTGCTGCCCATGTCAGTGTTCGGGGCAATGGTCATGGCCCACTCTCCAGAGAGTGACTCCTTCAGCCATCCCTCGCAGTTCTTCCTCTACAAATACGACAAGAGACGGGTAAGAGTTTCTTCATTATTCCATTTATCAGAAATCGACAATGGATGGGTAGGTGCGTCAACTCAACAGTTGTATCGTCTAAAGGTGACTCCTTCGGTTATCCCTCACGTTTCTCCCTCTACAAATACGACAATAGACGGGTAGGTTCTAATGTCTGCTGTGATTGTGTCTTCCCCTCTTAGCAAATGGTGCCAACTATTTGGTGCGCCTTTTTAATCCGCTCCTCCCATTCACCTGGTTTTTTCTATTGTGTAATGCAGTCTGGGTTGGGTGGACTTGCCTTTGACGAGGGCCAATTCTCAGTTTTCGGGTAAGCTAATCACTCTCTGTCAACCTGTTGCCAGAATCTCCTCGTTGGCCTATTTCCATCATAATATTTTTTAAAAAATGTTGTGCTTGGTGGTGTGCAGGTATGTGACAAAGGGTAGGGATGTGTTGGCACAGCTTCGTACTGGCGATGTGATTCAATCAGCTCGTATCGTGGCCGGGGCTGATAGGCTATCGGTCCCAAACGTGTGATTAGGATTTCCTGAGATACAAGTACTTATGGCGAAGTGCCTGGAAAGCTTGGTGTCAACAACACTATAAGATGTACAGATAATCAATTTCTCAATGTTTTACCTTCAATCATAAATCTCTCATATCGATTATTTTAGGCCTTGCAGTGTTTCTGCTCATCATACTAAATGCAACATATTGATTGTATCGCGTATCCGTCGCCCGAATGTACTGCCCCTGTCAGTCTGTTATCAGCGAAATCGCGCGGCTCGGGTGCAGGAGACCACTATTATAGTCCTTTCACGTGCCTTAGTCCATGCATGATACAGAATCATAGGTCTCCAGTATAGACTGGTATTCGTCCGTGGCAAATGAAGCTGAAGCAGCTCGAGTCGCTTCTAGGAGATGTGCAACAGTTCGACAATCCCAAGGTAGGCCTCTTCGGAAAGGCACGGAAGGTTTGAGCTGCCGATCCCGTCCGACCCTCTGTTGCGTTTTCCGCCCGTCCGACTGTTTTCCGGCATAGCGTATAAGCTGTTTACGGCAATTTCGAACAGCTTATTCAGATCTTCAATATTTGCCTACACGGATAGCGGAATGTCCGTGGAAACCAGGGTTTTCCTTCCCTCGTGTCCGCCTTTCATCCCTCTTGCCCTCCTCTTACAATGCAATGCAATGCAATTCTCGATTCAATCAGGACCCGGTTTCCACAGACATTCTGCTATCCGTGTTATTCTTGAGGCGGCTCAAAAATCTTGTCGTCTTGCCTTGCTCTCCTCTAACAATGCAATGCAATGTTCATTTCACCCACACCTCTACCCCACAGCCTCGTACATTCCTTCACTACACAACCCTTTCTTCCACCCCCCCACTCCCCCTCCAACCCCCTCCATCCCTCTCCACCCCCCTCCACTGCTCTCCATCCCCCTCCACCGCTCTCCATCCCCCTCCATCAGATCGAGTTGGAGCAGTACCCCACGGGACCTCACATAGCCTCTCGCATGCTCTATGAGGTGATTGTGGCTGCATTCTTTCCATGCCATTGCCATGTGTCATGTTGGGTACTATTGCTCGGTGAAGTTTGAGCCCACTTAGAAGTTGCTACAGTACCTCACAGGTCCTCACATAGCCTCTCGCATGCTCTATGAGTTGATAGTTGCAACCCACTCTCTCCACATGCCATCACGGTGTGTCATGTTGGGTACTAAGGGCAGGTGAAGTTTGAGTCGACCCAAAAACCACTTAGTACCCCACGGGTCCTCACTACGCCTCACGGATGCTCTATGAAGTGAGGACCCACACAACAGCCTTCCACAGCCTGTCACATCTGAATCGAAATCGGTTCAACCCACACTATGTGACGCTTCTTTAAACATATTCTTCTCATGCAATGTGTCTCTCTCTCAGACGACGTGTGTGTATATATCACGCAGGTTATGTCCCTCACACGACAATTCACACACTAGGGTGCCTCACACACACAATTTGTCTCTTCTCTTCCCCGTGCTTGCAGATCCACACTCGCTTTGACGCCATGGCGATGTTGGGCGCACAGTGCTTGACCTCGGCTGCAGGCGGTGTGGGGATGTGTGCAGTGGTACCTAACAAGTATCTCCCGCCTTTTGAGTCGACTCAAAAGTCAACGTGCAGTGGTACCTAACAATCTCCCACCTTCTTCTCAACCCTTCGTTCAGATCCACACGCGCTTTGATGATGTGGAGGGGCGTACAGTGCTTGACCTCGGCTGTGGGTGCGGCACCCTAGGGATTGCCGCAGCAATGCTGGGAGCAGAGTGAGTTTAACCGCTTAGAACCGCACCAAACCCTCTAGGCACCAGCAAGGGAGCAGAGTGAGGAGCAAATAACACCAAAGCACTGAGAGCCGCTGCATTCAAGCACCAACAAAGGGAGCACCACCGTTGAGGGGCGCACTGGGTCTCAACCATGGCTGTGGTGCGGCACTAGCAACCTATTCATTATGTGCCTGTGCTTGGTTCATGTGCTTGCATCAAGCTGCCCCTCCATTCATGCATCCATGATGTTGCCATTCACGTGATTGTGTGCATATGTGTGTGTGTGTGTGTGTGTGTGTGCGCGCGTGCGCGCATGCATTTGCATGTTTCTGCATGCATGCATGCCTGCAGGTATGTGGTGGGAGTGGACGCGGATGACTCAGCCATTGGCACAGCACAGGCCAACTGTCAAGAGTATGAGGTGCGTCGTTTGACTTCACTCTGTGTAAAACTGTAATGATTTCTATTTAATAAAAAAAAGGCTCCTCATAAGAAAGTAGCTGTTTTCTAGACGCCTAAACATATATATATACTCATAAAACGAATTATATTTGAAGTAAAGTTACTGGAAGAATGTAACGTAGGAGTGGAAGGGCATGTGTGGTAACCCAGAGGTGCCGCAGCACAAGCCAACTGAGCTTATCGTAATTAAGTGCCTGGGAGACACAGGAGCCTAGGACCGGTTGTGTTATGTCTGTTTTCTTCATATATGTTCTGTTATGTATTTAGTGCTAAGTAGCGTTTTGTTTTGTCATATCATCTATCGTTTATGTTACGGCATGTTATGTTTTGTTGTTTTAATCAGGTGAGAGTGTGTATTGTACTCTACCCGAACTGATGCTATCGTGTATGTTAGCGTGTGTCTCTGTGTATGCGCAGATTGACATGGACTTCATTCAGGCAAAACTTCCCCACTTGTCTCTCACTAGTTAAGCCTCTGCCTCCCTCCCTCCTCGGCTCCCTCCTTCCTCTGCCCCCCTCCCTCCTCTGCCTCCCTTCCCCCTCGGCCTCCCTCCTTCCTCTGCCCCCCTCCCTCCTCTGCCTCCCTCCCTCCTTGGCCTCCCTCCTCTCCCCCCTGTTTTGTCCTTGTTCCTCACCGCCCTGAGGGTTAGACTTCCTCGTGCTCTGTGCATGAACCCTCCGTTTTTGCTCAACACGATTATGAGGCACTTCAATTGTCGTCGCATGTCACCAGAAGCTTCTTCTGTTAGGTGCCTCATAAGTTGACTCGTGCTTTTTTTTCCCTGCAGGTGGCTCAGTTGAGGTGGTGGTGATGAATCCGCCCTTTGGCACGAGAACCAAGGGTGCTGACATGCTCTTCTTAGCAGCAGGGCTCAAGGTGAGGAATGGTGCTGTAAATATAAATAAAAGTATGTATATATATAATATATATAAGGAGGACAATCTAATAAGGTGCGCTACTTCAAATTAATTTTGCATGGATTATGAGCATTGGCTCAGATTGGGTAGCATGGTATGGTGACTGCCTTTCCACGCACAGCTTGGAGTCAAGAGTAAGCAGCCCTGTGCTTCCCTCCATGTGCTTCCTCTCACATGCTTTTTTCCATGCTCTTTCCCCTCTAAGTTTCTTGATTGTATTCTCCTGTTGTTGTCCATTCTCTTGTGCCCCTTACACTCGTGTGTCCTTCGTCTTCTTGTGTCCTGCCCCTCTTGTCTCTTTCTCCCTCCCCTCGTCCTGTTGTTACCCCCTCCCCTTTTGTCCCCCCCTCTTGCCTCCCTCTCCGTGCTGTCTCCATTGTCCTGTTGTGCCACTCACCCTCTCGGGCCCCTTCAGGCTGCTTCAGTAGCCGTTTACTCTCTCCACAAATCATCCACTCGAGAGGTGCACATTTCCCCTTCCGGTCCCCATGTTTTCCCTGATGAATCTGCATCCAATTCACTCTCCTCCTAGCCTTCTGTCACCCTCCTCATATACCCCAATTTTGACCCTGTCCTTTTAGCCATTTTACTCAGCCATTTTACTCTGCCTAGGGTTATTTTGTTGTTATTATCCTTCTTGAATATTTCTGTTCAGCTTGGCATGGCATTCTTGTTGGTTGTCTTTCCAGCTCCTACATAAGCAGCCACCGCCTGCATTTTGCTGTACTAAACTGTGCAATTGCCTTTTCTTCTTTGAGTGTGTGCACAGCATGTAGAACGTGCAGCACTAAGAGATTTTGGCGCAAAGAGTGCTGAAGTGATGTATCAGGTATGTGCATCACCCCGTTTAAAAGCTTTTGCAAGTTACTGAGGTTAGGTTGATATCAAAGATTGTGATATAAATATGTTGCTGTGAAACCCTTGTGCAGGTTAGGTACAATATTCCAGCCATGTACAAATTCCATAAGAAGAAAGAGGTAGACATTGAAGTCGACTTGTGGCGATTTGTGCCTTGTTGAAGATATTGCTGTTTCCTCCACGTGAAAAGTGACGATCGACTGACACCTCCAATCAACGCTACTCCGGAGTTCTCGACTCGCACGCTTTGATTGGTCAAATTCCGTTCGTTGACTGCAACCTATTCCACTGTCCGCGGGCAGGTGAACTTCGTCAAGTTTGTTTGGTGATGCTCATCTATGGTTAGCTAATGACTGAACTTTCTCACCTAGATGATTTCACGCATGGTCGCTCACCTCACGAACCCTGACAACAGTTGCACTGGGACCAGATCGAATCGCATCGCAGCTGCTTGTTCTCTGAACTTGAGAAGTTGTGGTCCACATCCGCACCGCACGGCAGCAAGCAACCTCTGTGACCGCTTGGAACATTTCTTCCAGCTGACCAGGGTGTGCTGCTGACCGTGGGCAACAAAGCGAACTTGCTCAGCATACACCGTGTGAGCACACGAACTGCATGCCTTAAAAGAGGAGTTTGAGGTCCTCGTGTTCCAATCACATGTACTCTCTGACAGAGTCAATTGGTTGAGAAGCGATAGAGCTCTGACTTGGCACTTGTGGTTTTTGTGACACCTGGCATGCTCAACGTCATTGAGATGATCGACGGTTAAGATCTCTTATGTCGGCCGAATGGGTGGTGATATTTTCGTGATGACGGACATACAACACCGTCGATCTCTTCCGATCAATTCAAGGCGACGGGAGTGAAGCAAATGACCACAACAAGCGGGTCGGTCGGCCAGATCGCCAATCCCTGGACCATAATGTAGATCGACGGCTTTGAGCTCACACATCCCTCCCTGGCCAAACCAAACTGATCAGGCTAGGCTGGCCTCAGTCAGGACGCGATGAAAGTGCAAATAACGCAGGATCGTCTGCACATATCGATCCCCACAATCGATTGGGCAGATCGATTGGCGAAACGTGGCGATCGCGACGTGTAACGATCGCCACTGAAATTTGATAGATCTCCCGCGATTTGTGATCAGTCGCATTCACACACTGTCCAAAAAATTGGGCCAAAAAGCGTACTGTAGCTTAGCTATAGCGTAGTCAATAGGGTAACCAATCCGCACATCGATCGCGACTGACGATCGATCGTCTACTTTTACCGCGTCGTCAGCCAGAGGGGAGGGGAAGGTTGGATTCAGCTTCAGTCTCCCGATTCATACTCAGTCCAAGTTCACCACCCCAGCCTTGTCCTTGAAATCAGACTAGAATGTGGAGGATCATGAGTGATTAGAAGCACAGCAGCAGAGAGAGCGCGGAGTTCATTTTAGCCTGTTGGTCTTTAACTTGAATTGCCAATCCCTTCTGAGAACCGCTTTTACTTTTTTGCTTTGCTTACCTCATTGTTTTTTCCTTCGGTGGCGTTGAGGCGTCTACAATGCCGATTACCATGATTGCGTCTCGCGTCTCAAAGCTGTTGCTGGATCCGGATCTTAAGGAGAACCTTTTGAAGGTCGCGCATCTTGAGAAGTCGTTGAAGTCACATCGACCACTCAAGCATCTACCATCAGCTTATTCCAAGGCAGAGCACGTCCATGGGAAGGCCATGACCCTAATTAGCATGATGGCCATGCTCGTGCTGACTCCTCCGATCGCCATCTACATGTAAGATAACTTGTACTAAGAAAATCCCACACAGGAGTGCCAGAGGCACGTCTAATAATGAAATCGATCAGTACTAATAACAAACTATCTTATTCACTTGCTAAATGTTACTCGTTTTGAGGTGCAGGTGGTTCATTATGGCCAAAACGGACGGGTCAATTCTAAAATTCTGGCAATTTTTGCAAAGCAAGGAATCCGTGATGGATGGACTCCTGGAGGCCTGGCCGTCGCCGCTCTCCCCCATTGCTTGGAAGATCATTGGCGCATTTGCAGCTTTTGAAGCAATTCTTCAGGTGCGGTGTTGGGTAGCCACTGTCAAAGTAAACGAACATTCTGAAATTGCGATTTCCTGATCAGATAAGATCACCTTAAAGGCATGTATCTAAGTTCTTTTCAATCCCTCACGTCGGCAGGTTCTCTTGCCTGGTAAGGAATTTGTTGGACCCGTTTCACCAGCTGGAAACCGACCTATCTATTGGGTAAGATTTAATGCGATGAACAAATTACCGCCCTCCCGCTCTCCCTATGTTCCAATTCTGCGATTCCACTAGCCGCTACCGCCGTTTCGGAAACACCCACCTCCCTCATCGAATTCTTGCAATTTCCATGAGAATCGCGTATATTTCCTGGATGCACTCCAATGCGAGAGACTTCCGTTTCCTTAAACGAACACTTTCCCAATCCTCATATGCCCTGCAGTGTAACGGATTCCAAGCATATCTGGTCTCCATTGTCACATACATCTTCATCTGGAGGTATAGCCTGCTTCACGCTTGCCTGCTGGACCCACCACCTCTCACATGGTTTACAAATCGTACCATGCCGCGTGTCTTCGAATTCATTGTTTTTAGAATTGTCGCAATCCCATGAGGATCGCCCATGAAGCATACTCTTCACATTTTTCACAAACTAACCAGCCCGTGAAAGGCTCCAAACATTGATCTCCCTGCACGAATTGACTGGTGAAGCTCATCAAATTCCCTCCCTCCTTCTCACCAGAGCCGGGTGGTTCAACCCATCCCTCGTGTACGATAACTTTGGCAGCATCCTCTCTGCCCTCAACGTCGCCAGCCTACTTCTCTGCCTCTTCCTCTACGCCAAGGTATGGTCTCTCCCCATCCCATGCTTATCCAATCCGTGCTTCGTTATTTTTGTCGCGTCTGTTTGAATTGACCGAGCAAAGTCCTGGTGCGAGATCAATAAACACTCCCTGTTCTGTGCTGGTTTGCGCAGGGTCACCTTGCTCCATCATCCTCTGACTGGGGATCTTCCGGGAATTTCATCCAGGACTTCTTCTGGGTGAGCCTCCTCTCTCGTCTTTCTGTCGTTTGCCTTTGTCGATCCGTGACGTCACGCAGTGACAAGCAATTCCACAAAACGACTTTCACCATCAGCCGTCCCTCTTCCTGTGTGCCTATCCTCTCTGCAAATAATTTCGATGCTATGGTGTTGTGCTTCCCTTTCTGTATACCACACTAATTCGCAGGGCATGGAGCTGTACCCGCGCATCGGCAAGTACTTTGACATCAAGACCTTCACCAACTGCCGTTTCGGCATGATGTCATGGGCGCTGCTGGCCGTCACGTACGCCATCAAGCAGCTGGAGGCGAATGGGCGAGTAGCGGATTCCATGGTTGTGAGCGTGGCGCTCATGCTGGTTTACATCTCCAAGTTCTTCTACTGGGAGTCGGGGTACTGGAGCACCATGGACATCCAGCACGACCGAGGTGAGCCTTTTTTCTGTTCTGATCATGCAGCGTTCTTTCTCTGTCACTTCTGTCGGAACTAGTAATAATGTCACGGGTGTGGGCCGTCTCCACTCCTTAGAGCCGCTCGCCAAATCTTACTTCGCGAGACATCAGCACATTGTACCTGAACCCTGTTATGTTCCCCTTGGTCCTCATCCATCATCCCGTTTCCTCCCCCCCTCCCCTCTCCTCCCTTCCCTACGCTCCCCGTTTCTTCCACTTCCTTCTTCCCTTTGATTCTCTTAACCCCGACCCTCCTGCTGCTCCCGCCAGCCGGCTACTACCTCTGCTGGGGCTGCATGGTGTGGGTGCCCTGCATCTACACCTCGCCCGCCCTCTACCTCGTCAACCATCCCCTGCAACTTGGCACTCCCGTGAGTACCAGATTCCCCTGCGTGCCTGCCTGCCTTCCTCACCCCGTGCCTGCCTGCCTGCCTTTCCCCGTGCCTCCTTGCTTGCCCTCCCTCCCCCCCTCGACTCCACGTTTTCTACCCGTTCCCGTGAGCTTTATACATATTTTTCCCTCCTTGCGTCTATTTGTGGTTTCAAGTCAAAAGCTTTCGCTCGCTCAACCCAGAGCA